TGTGGCTACCAGCATGAGAGTAATCAACGATCTGCGACTAAATAAGTGTATATTCTGTTACAATAAAAAAATAGGTATACATAGACGCAATTGAAAGAGCCTAATATAACCGAACGACTTGTAATTTACGTAATTATCTACATAATATCTACCTTGATCCCGCATGCCTCAGCAATACAAAGAATATATCGTATACATTCTCAATTCAAGCTGTATTATTTGTCAAACTGATCATTCAAAAAGACAGCAATTTTTTTTAAATGACCTATTGACGCCTGGTGCGCGACAATCTTTTTGCACATCGTCGCTTTCTTTTAAAAATCACTCAGGTAACGGATAAAAATTTCACTTCCGCATTTTCATGTTCAAGATATGCTTTTTTCGTGATTAGTTTAATCGTCAAAGTTGAAAATAAACAGCGATTTACGCGCGTCAAGTTTTCTTCATTCAAGTATAATAACTACTAGTCTAGTCAACTTGTCTAGGCCGAGGTGAACCGAAAAAATTCGAGTACCCGAATAGTTTTGGGTGCTCGCAAGCTTTTTTCGAGTACTCGCACACCCCTGAGCAAAAAATTTTTCTTTTGCAACAGTTCTTTTAACTTTGACAATTTTGCCAAACTTATTTCAACTTTGTACAAACATTGGCCCATGCGACTTACCAAACTTACATTTTCAGCTAAATGTTTCACTTGGCTACAATTGATCAACTTTTATAGACTCAGAGGTGCAGGTAAAATTTCGCCCAATTCAATCAATTAATTGATTTTGAAACAATTTGTTCTATTTTCATTTCATCTAATGCAGTCAACCAAAATTTTTAAAAAGTTTGGTGAATCTCATTATGGGCCAAATTTCGTTCGAAGTTAAACAAAAATTTTTTGGATGAAAGTATCGCGAAACTATCGCGAAACAAAAATTTTTTTATGTGGGTTCCTACTCAATGCACCAGATCGATCTCAGCAATGATTCGACGAAAAGTCAATTATGTGTAGAGAGTAGGCAACTTGAGATAATCAGACAAGAAATTCAATAATTCAAAATTTATTGCTTCGAAATAGTTACTATATTGCATAGAGAATACTATGAAGTCAATTTAAATTAATAAAATTTGATTCATTAACAAAACATTCAAAAACAACTCGACTAGTCGGCAAAACTCGATTACTCGAAGCAACTCGAGGACTCAAAAAATTGAATACTCGACTTGAACTGGAGAGGGGTACCCATTTCGATCGAGTTTTTTCGAGTAAACCCACATCCCTAGAAGATACTTGAATTAAATTTTTGAACGAAAAAGCCTCGTTTAAAATCCTTAAAATCTCGCAAAAAACCTTTGAGATACATTTGAGACATCATTTTTTTAAATTATTCATTGTAAGAATGTAACATATTTATGACTTATTCTTCATCATAATTGAAATTTTTATGGAAATATTAATCGAGAATGTTTGTGAAAACATATTAAAAACTGTGTATGCTGACTCTTGAGCAGTTAATCGAATATTGTCATTTTTAAAATAACAAACTGATCAGTTTATGTTTAGAAAAGTCAAAAGTTGGTGGATTGTGACAAATTAAATACAAAGATCGAGATGTAAAGCAATGCAGAGGCAGCCAAATGGGGATTAGTCAATGTAAGCGATACGAGGCTATAAGGGAGGAAGAAACCGTCATCGGGTGACACATCTTGCGACCCCTATACTGTAGGACTGTCAATGTAAGTGTCTACGCTGCTTTGAGAATATTTGCAGAAATGCCCTTTTCTTTTATTAAATTTACAAATAATTCGCGTGCTCGATTTAAGTATTTTGATAAAAAAACAACATTACACATTAATAAATGTAAAAAAGGTTTAATTAAGTTAATATAATATCCATAAAACCGCATCCTTTACAAGTACCACTCGAAAATAAAAGACTACGTAAAACATTTTTTTTCAATATTTGTTCAAGTGACTGTCATATGTGGACGACTTCGTTTAGTTATTCCCTCGATACCGGGTCAACTCGTTGAAAAGAGATTCGTGGAGAACACGAAGAAATGCGTCGAATAAATATACAATTTGTTGAATGGACGACGATATAGAAGAAGCGCCGCCGATGCGAAATAAAAAAGGAGCGTTTGGCAGGTCAGCTCGGTAGGCGTAGGACAATGGCATTTTGCAAGGACCGCAGGAGGATCAGGACGAGACTGTGCAATGTGTACGTGTATAGGTAGGAACGGATCGCAGACCGACTGGCGTCACCGACGCGCCGTTATATAGCTGCGTCGTAGCAGTAATGATCGGCTCGGGACTGCTGGTCCAGGAGCGGCGGCGCCAGTCGGTCTGCGATCCGTTCCTACTTCTCTGCACCCCTAACGATTCGATCCACAGCTCTCACCTTTAATCTTTATCCAGGCGCCAGTCGGACGCCGCTTAGCCACTGGCCTAAGCGCGATACTCCATTGCACCTCCCTCTGCACCAACTCTATTTCCTAGTCGTTTCCAATAATTCATTTCAACTCACCTGCGCCAATGTTCGTGAGTCAGAGCATACTAACAAAATAACTTATTACAAATTTCATTAAGGGGACAAGACAGTGTTTCGAGCTGATATTTCAACCGCTATTTGATTAGCCATATAAATCGAAATAGTTAAACATTTTTTTTCTTGGTAGTAAAGTAAGTTCATACTACCCCTGATTGACCAAAAAAAGCTCCTACCCGAGCTACGAAATCCTAATTACATTACTTTTTTCATAATTCTAAATATTGTGATTGGATTCACTGACCACGCGATTCTGACATGAGTTCTTCGTCAATATTGATCCGTGGGTTGTGAAAGTCTTCAGAAAAATACCCTCATCCACTTGAGCGGAGCAGAATTTAGAAAAATTGTGTACAGCTCAATTTACGCGTCAAAATACGAAAAATTTTAAGAAAATCAATATTTTATCAACTCTAAATTTTGTATTAAAGCTATTAGAAGATTAACAAAAGTTTTTTTCAAAATTCTGCCCCGTTTAGGTGGATGAAGGTAATTTTCTGAAGACTTTCACAACCCACAGATCAATATTGACGAAGAACTCACGTCAGAATCGCGTGGTCAGTGAATTCAATCACAATATTTAGTATTATGAAAAAAGTAATGTAATTAGGATTTCAGAGCTTGGGTAGGAGTCTTTTTTGGTCAATCGGGGGTAGTATGAACATATTTTACTACCAAGAAAAAAAAATTTCAACAATTTTGATTTATCTTGTCCCCTTAAATCTTCAAAATCCGTGACTCTTCACTACTGTTAATGTAAAATCAATAACAATTTGTCATTCAAGTTTTTCAAATAAATTTTTCAAACGAAACCAAGAAGACTTGAGTCATGCAAACGCGTAAAAATGTCTTTCGTAACAGTAAGAAAGAGAGAGAGAGAGAGAGAAAAAAGATCGACAGGTATATGGGGATGTTGTCAGATACAACTATTGAATTAGGCTATATGTAATTGGGTGAATGCAGGCTCGAAACCAAACGCCTTAGCGTGGGCGTTTATTTCCAACGATGCTACGTATTTGAGAACAACACCTGTGTGGAGGGGGTAAAACTTGAACGCAGCTTTTTGATAAGGTGAGAGTGAACAGGTGCGGCGACGTTCGAATCAGCCGAGCACATGTAGAGTAGGCGTTATTGTACACGTATGGGCAAGTGGCTCGTTTGGGACGTTAGCTCCTCCTACCTGTTTTCCCGAGACAGGTTAGTCATTGTAATTCCGACTCTTCGAAGGCTTTACACTCGCACCAAATTTACTATCTTCCTGCAGAAAGCATTGGCCGTACCGATACTTACAATTCAACTCATCATACAGCTGATGGTGACTTCATTATCTTACATTAACATAAATCATGGTCTCGGACACATTTTTTTCTAAACGAAAATTTTGAAAACTTATTGTTTTTAATATTTCATTATTCAATACTTTAAAAAAGAGTCGGATTCTTCAATAATTTTCGAAATTTGATGCAAATTGAATAAATACGACAGATTTTAAATTTTTGATTGCTTCGGTAAGTAAACAAAAAATTTCACAAAATCTATGTATATGTACGGAAAATTGGTGAAAATAATTTTTTTAAATCATAATGGCCATCGGATTTAAAACTATTTAAAAAATTTTAAAAATTTGTTTTATTGATTTTTATATCTTTGTTGTAATCAATTTTAAATACTTTAAATACAACTTAAAGCTTACATAACAAAAATTTTCAATACATTTTTACAAGATAAGCGTTCAATAATGGAATTTTTAACGAGAATGATTAAGTTTAACTTTATAAAAAAATTGTTACTTGTGGCTGTTGAAAGTAATTGATAAATATTTAATAAATTTATTCTCATTTGTAAAAAGATTTGTTTATTTAATATTTTTAATGCAACGTGTAAATTAAACTGGAGACAAAATTTTTCTGATTTTTTTTCTACATAATAGTTTCTGTAATAAAAAAAGTAAATTCCTTCACCATTGTATTAAAGTTAATAAAAATATTTAATAAAAAATTTCAATCTAAAATAATTCAGCATACGAAAATTGTATTGACTAAAAATGTTTGGCTTACGCAAATAACGTCAATACTTTTCATTTCATATGTATTCTCATAGAACTAAATAGCCGTTTGTTCTCTTCTTTCTAAACGTTAAAAAAAAGGATTGTTTTAATTGACTGACTTTTGACATTTTTGAGTTTACAAGAAAAATGAGAAATAAATTACAGATTGTTGACGCTTAAAAGCGCTTATTTCATTGATCTATTTACTTTAAATTTTTAATAGACTGGTTATTTTGCAACACCTGAAATATTGATTAAATGATTCAGAAAGTAAAAATACATTTTTTATTTTCGACTTGATACTAAATAAAATGGTCTTTACTATATGTACAACAAATTGGACGTAATATAATTAAAAATGTTAATGTCATAGTAGTATCAATGAAATTGAATTTTTCAGTAACAATAAATTATACTACAGTTATTATTTAATAAAAATAACGAATGCCTACAGTTATACTTTATAATATAAAATAAATTTTCTTAAATAATAACTAAAATGCATTGTAATAGCAAAAAAAGCATAGTATAGTACTGCTTTACGTCGATTGCAGTTGTTTTATAACATTAACAACTTTTACAATTATCAACTCTTACAATTATTACTTTGCAACACTTTTTTTCGAAAAAGTGATTAGAAAGATTTAATGCGGCGTTGCTACTATTTTAGGGCTCCGTGGAGTGCTTCGAAGTGATCGCGCATTGCTGGAACCAGCAGGTGTGCTAGCAACAACTTTCCTTCTAACTGGTTTCAAAGGAGTTTTCATGGGAGTTTTCATAGGTGTTTTTATGGTCCCCATATTAGATCCCTTTCTTAAAACAGTTTCTTCTGGTAAAATTGAACTTCTTAGTTCATCCCGATTTTCTAAATGTTCTTGGAAATTTCCATAGGATGATACTGATAGCATGGTATCATTTTTTGATCTTCGAGTCTTCTTCTAAAAAATTGTTTTCAACATAATTTTTTTGGGCATTTTTACAATAGATAGGTCATAAAATAATTTACTAACCCTGCCACTTCTCCTTACTTTATTGACGACAAGGGTAGGTTTATGTTTTTCTGTGCTAACCATACGTTTTTTATTGGATGTATTTGGTGATACATCATAAGGCAGTTTTCTTTTAGCAGCAGGAGTCATTCGAGACATATTTGATGGACCAGGTGTTCGAAGTCTATTAGAAGCAGGAGTAACACGGAGCATACTTGCCCCAGGTGTGCGTTTTGAAGTACTTAAAGGTGTTTTTTTAGCAGACTTATCTTTTGCTTGTTTCTACAAGAAGATTGACATTTAATTATAAATTCTGATTGAAACCATAAAATCAAGTTTTACTTACTCTTGCTAGTTTTAAATTTTCTTTTTCAACTTCATAATTCTCACGTTTTTCATTCATGTATTCTTTCAAAGACAAACCATGAACTGTAAATGCTTTTTTATTTAATTTTTCATAATCTTCAATTAATGAATCAAGTTGAGCTTCAAGTTTAGGTAATTTCTGTAAATATGAAAGTTGCAAAAATGGTAAGATTAATACCCAAAACCTATCAAGATTTTTTCAAAATTTTATTACCTTTTCAGCAGCTTTTCTTTCTTTTTCCTCCATTAGTAATTGTCCACCTCTATTATGATAGCGATCAGGATCATTTGCTCTTTGGTCCAATTCTTTTAATTTTTCAAACTGAATTTCCCATTCATCCAAAAGTTCAAAAATTTTTCTTTAAAAAAGAAATGTATATATATATTTATATATAAAAAATATTTAATCATTTTAGAATAAATCAGGTACTTTATGTACTAAAATCTTACTTATTATTATTGTAATATTTTTTTAAACTCTCTGCCTCCATTTCATGTAGTGTGAGTAAATCATCTGTATAAGTTTGACATTTCATTGCTGTGAAAGATTTTTTCTGAAGTTCACTAAACTTGCATAGCTTCCAGTAGTTTTCTATTTCACATCTCACTTTTTTGACATAGTTTGCAACATTTTCACTTCGTTTTTCTTTACATCTTTTTATTTCAACATTTAACTGAAAATAGCATATTATTTTAATATGAAAGAGATAATGACTTTCTTCATTTTGAAACAATAATTTATGTACATAAAGTCCAAATTAAATGAATTCTAATTAACTTACAGCATTTAATGTTATCCGACTATATCCTGTATAAGTTTCCAAAAAATGTTGACGGTGTTCAGCTGGTTCATCAAGGTAATCCCACAATGCTTTTAAAGTTTCTTTTTTTTCTTGAGCTTCAGATTTTGCTGCATCTACTTGTTCTTTCAATCTTTCTCTTAAATCTCTCAACAAAGACATATTGCTTGGTGAAAAAACAAAGTTGTTGTGATCGTGACAAACCATTCTTTCAAAATTTAATGCAGGAGTAGCTTGAAGATCTTCCATCATTTTTAAAATTGACCTTCTAGAATCTTTAAATAAATCTGATAACCGAGTCTGAAAAAACAATGCAAAATAATTTTATTTTCATATCAATAATATATTTTTTTGGTAAAAACAAAATTATACCATTTCCATTTCTTGTATGTTCAAATAATTTTCAAATTCTTTTATTTCTTGCTCTGAAGGTAATGCATTATTGAAACCAACAATTTTGGCACCAATTTTTTTACATATTTCTGATTCCTAGAATATAATATAACTATCAATAACTATACATTTGAAAAGTTTAATATATACAATAAAATACTATTTTACCTTAGCAAGAAGCTCTTCTATATATTTTAGACGTTGATCTTTTAAATGTTGCAATTGGTCAACTTGTTCTTTTAAAAGGATCTCCAGCTCTATAAGAGGTAAATCATCATAGGCTTCAGTAGCGAAATTTGTACCTAATTCCTGAAGAAAAAGTATAACTATTAATTCAGTTCATATACTTTTGTGTCATACATGACTATACCTTGGAAATTTTTCTCGCTGTGTGAATTAAAGTTTTTACATTTTTTAAGAGGTCTTTTTTCTTTTGATTAGATTCTTCTACCATATCCTTCATCAATTCCTAAAAATTACATTAAGTAAGATGATATTTAGTACAACACATTTATGGAAATTAATAATCAAAAATATTCTTGAAATTTACCACTACATGGTTGAGGACTTGATCTGCATAGGTAGAAAGAATTTTTTCTCTGTACCCTGTTTCTTCCCATATGTCAAACAATTCAGAAATTTGTTTAGCACATATAGATTTTGCTTTTTCTATTGTATTGTCTCTATAAAATAGTAAAAAAATTCGTATGACATAAATGATGTATGTATAACAGCAAAAATGATTTGAAACTATTGTTAAACTCGATTTCAATGTTAATGCAGAAATATATAGTTGGAATGATCAAAATGTCCATCCTATATTAAATATTAGTTGATAATATTTTTTAATATTGAATTTTATATTGGTAACTGATGGTTAGGACAAAATAAGTGGACGGGACCTGTCCGTTAGCATAGTAAGTATATTCACCTGATGGAGCTCATTGTGATCAGTTTCTAAATCCTTTAGTCCAGTTACAATACAACATTAAACAAAATTTATCGGTATCAGACGAAGTTACATTTGTTGTTTACGAGTTTCGACGTTGTATGTTTACTAATTTAACCCACCCCGCTTGCCCAAAACTGTTAGATTTCACGACGAGTAGGATCAATCACGAGATAAGTTTACGCGCGCGTTATTGCATTATGTTCGTGTACACATACTACTGTATAGCTATAGAAGATGACCCAGCGCAACGGTAACGCACCGTTTGGAATTCACTAACGTTTATCCTGTTTTAAATTTGTACACGAGGCGCATCCTATTGGTTGAAACTCAACTCTGTCAGGAGGCTCATATGTGAAATGCGGGTCATTTCGAATCCAAATTACCCAGATACTCTTAAACAACTGACTTCAGCGCAGTCTCGTGTTCGAAATTTTAGTTATAATTAAATTTGAAATCCTCCCAAAAGGAGGGGCCCAGGGCATGTAGGATTACATTCTCGTATTCAATACCTACTGCTATTGCCCTCTCGATGTCTTTTTTAACTTCAAAACTTTAAACATATAAGAATGAAAACTATTCGAAAAAAGTGAAATTTGCGAAGAAGAAAAATCGCGTTGAAAATGATCCCTTACGAAACCGTTAAATGCGTTTAATTTTGTCTTAAACGATATACTTCAAAACTTAGGGTTTTTTATGGACTGAAAAAATCGTGAAAATTGACGAGCATTATTTATACTTTTTTTACACAACTTTAAGTCTAACAATATGAATTACAAATATTTATTTTCTTAACTTTTAAGTCTTGCTGTTTGCTTCACTAATAAAAAATAAAGTAGTAGTAACCCATGCAATATCATTTGTGAATAAAAGTTTATTAAATTTTTAAAAATAACGATTTTGATTTAGGATTCTTAAACATAACAGTTAAAATTAATGTATGTAAAAAACTTTCATTTTTTAATTGAAATTGTTTTTTATTATTACATCTTATGATCCCGTGAAGCCTCGTTAAGCCATAAAAATTTCAGTTGACTGCGATTTAACCATCGTTGTTGCAGGCTAAAGTTCAAGTTTCAGATAAATTTGTAAAAAATTTAATCTCATTTATTTAAATATTAAGGAGAATACAGAGATACGTTCAAATTTTCTGCTTCATATCAGACGAAATGTATAAAATCAATTAAAAGTTGAAAAATGTATTTATAACAGTATCGAATTCGTTAACTACTTTAATCGGAAAATAATATCAAATCTCGCATGTTCACTCGCATTTTCAATGCTGGCGATACTTGTTCCAACACTTCCAACTTCCAGTGGCTGTAGAGCGGCACCACTGATCGAATTTTAACCCCCACTTATTGTAAAAGTTTTAGCCGGTTGCCGCCAATTTCTGCTTGTTTTGTGCGTCTTGTGTGACTGTAAACACACTAGTTGCTGTTCCTTTCAAGTTTTTTTTCTTTTTTAATTCGATTTAATCGAAGGGTTTTTTACTGTTTTAAGTTAGATTTCCGCATACTTAGTTTTCCATTTTTTGAAAAAAATGGTAAGTTTTTTCTTTATTGTAAATTTCTCTGATCCTCTAAGATGAGGCATTCAATTATTGTTTTATTTTAAGAGTCAACCGAGTTCTCCAAGAACAGATAGGCTTGAAGCTGCTACATCTCCTGCTCCAGATTTTGATGAACCATTTGAAGATGAAAGCCGTTTATTGGGTAATGATGACATAAATGAGGAAGAAGAAGATGGGGAAGAACTCTTTGGAGACAACATGGAGGCGTGAGTATTTATTCAACAACCACCTTCATTTTGAACTTTATTAAAGGAAATCTAATAACCATGTTTTTGAATTTCTTAAGTGACTATCGTCCCATGTCAGCCCTCGATCGTTATGATCCTGAAATTGTTGACGATGAAGATTACTCTGAACTGTCTCAAGGAGAACGTGCAGCTGCAGAAGCCGCCATGCGTAAGAGAGACAGGGCTGCAGGCATTGGTAGAGATGACAGAGATCTTCTTTATGGTAAATTATAGATAACATATAAACTAATTCATGTTAGAGTATTATTAGTAATATATCATTTAACTTGATTAGATGACAGTGACGATGAGGATCTTTCTCGTAAACGTCGCAGAGCAGAAAAAGCTGCAGCTGGAGAAATTGATGAGACTGAAGTAAAATGAAAAAAAATTTTATATTATTATGTCTTAAAAGAATGCACTTTAATTTTTTTTTGCCTCATTCATCAGATGACAGAATCAATTGAAAACTTAGAAGATACAAAAGGATATTCAGTAAAGGATTGGGTAACTATGCTTGCTCCAAGAAATGAAATCTTCAATAGGTTCAAGAACTTCTTAAGGACCTATACTAATTCAAAAGGGCTTCATATGTACAGTGAACGCATTCGACATATGTGTGAAAGCAATCAGGTAATTAAAAAAAATTAATTAATATCTTTCAAAATAGTTCAAATAATTAACGTTTATTTTAGTCAAGTTTTATTGTGGAATTCCCCGTTCTTGCTAGCAAAGAACATGTTCTTGCTTATTTTTTACCTGAGGCCCCATTTCAAATGTTGGAGATATTTGATGAAGTTGCTAAGAATTTGGTACTCACAATTTTTCCTAGTTATGAGAGGGTTACAACAGAAATACATGTCAGAATATCGGAATTACCTCTTGTTGAAGAACTGCGTACTTTTAGGTAAGATTTAATAATTATTTTTAATAAATATTACAATAACAAACTATTTTTTTAAATGAATAGGAAACTTCATTTGAATCAGCTAGTAAGAACATTGGGTGTTGTAACAGCTACAACAGGGGTTTTACCGCAATTGTCAATTGTGAAATATGATTGCAGTAAGTGTGGATACATTTTAGGGCCTTACACTCAATCTCAAAGCCAAGAAATTAAACCTAATAAATGCCCTGAATGTCAAAGTAGTGGTCCATTTATGGTAAACTTTTACTATTAATTGGTCTTAATTTGTCAAGAAGACTATATTTGTAATCACTAAACCATTTTTCAGATTAATATGGAGCAAACCATATATAGAAATTACCAAAAAATTACAATTCAAGAATCGCCTGGAAGAATTCCTGCTGGAAGAATACCTCGAAGTAAAGATTGCATTTTATTGTCTGATTTAGTAGACCGCTGTAAACCAGGAGATGAAATAGATTTAACCGCCATATACACTAACAGTTTTGATGGCTCTTTAAATACTGAAGAGGTAAATGAAATTTTAAAATTAGCTTTGAAAAAAAATTGTTTTTTTCTATAAATATTTCATTTTTTTTTCAATTTTTCTCTTCAAAAGTATATAAATAAAAGTATAAGTCTTAAAAAGTACATCTGAAGATTTTTCAATCTGTTACTTTTATTCATATTTTTTATATTAATAAAGTTATTGCATTTGATAGAGAATTATATTTCAAAATAATATTATTAATTTACAGGGTTTTCCAGTTTTTGCCACTGTACTTTTAGCAAATCACTTACAAGTTAAAGATTCTAAAGATATTGTTGATTCTCTTACAGAAGAGGATGTCAATAATATTTTGAAACTAAGTAAAGATCCTCACATTGCCAATCGAATTGTTGCTAGTATTGGCCCATCAATTTATGGTCATAAGTTCATTAAAAGAGCATTAGCTCTATCAATTTTTGGAGGAGTTTCAAAAAATCCAGGTAAGTTTGCTTGCATTTGACATGATGCAGTTATTATAAATTGAGTTTTTTAATTTTGTGCAGGTATGAAACATAAAGTCAGAGGAGATATAAACATATTAATTTGTGGTGACCCTGGTACTGCAAAATCTCAATTTCTTAAATACATTGAAAAGATAGCTCCAAGAGCTATTTTTACAACAGGCCAAGGGGCATCTGCTGTTGGTCTTACAGCCTATGTCAGAAAATCTCCTATGACTCATGAATGGACTTTAGAAGCTGGTGCATTAGTACTTGCTGATAATGGTATATGTTTGATAGACGAGTTCGACAAGGTATATACATTTTTTACTTTGAATTAATCATTGAAATTTGGTTTTAAAATTGTTTATTCTGTACAAGATGAACGATCAAGATAGAACGTCAATTCATGAAGCTATGGAGCAACAGAGTATTTCTATATCCAAAGCTGGTATAGTTACCTCTTTAAATGCAAGGTGTGCCGTTATTGCCGCATCCAATCCAATTGGAGGAAGATATGACGCTAGTTTAACATTTTCTGATAATGTAAGGTTTACTATTAATTAAATTGTAAAAAAATTTTCTTTTCAATTCGTTTTATATATGTTCTTACATTTTTTGCTTCAGGTTGATTTATCTGAACCAATCATTTCTCGTTTTGATATTTTGTGTATTGTCAAAGATGAAGTAGATCCTATGCAAGATAGGCACCTTGCTAATTTTGTTGTCAATTCACATATTAAACATCATCCATCAAATTTAGAAAAAGTAGTACCATCACAACTGGAAAATAGTGCAGTCAAAGAGTCTGATGAATTTGAACCATTAGATCAAGATGTTTTAAAAAAGTATATTGTTTATGCCAAGCAAAATGTACACCCAAAATTAAGTAATGTTGATAACGATAAAATTGCCAAATTATACAGTAAACTTAGGCAAGAAAGTAAGGTAAAGACACTCGCATTGCAGACTTTCAGAAAAATCAAAAGTCAAATTAATCTAGATTTTAAAAATCATTTTAGATTACTGGAAGTCATCCTATTACTGTACGCCACATTGAAAGTATTATACGTATGGCAGAGGCTAATGCCAAAATGCATTTGCGTGAATTCGTAAGAGAAGAAGATATAAATTTGGCTATTAGAATGGAATTAGAAAGTTTTGTTGAAACGCAAAAGTATTCTGTCATGAAAGATATGAGACAAGTAAGTTAAATCTAAATTAAAATTTTTAATTCAATTGAAGTTTAACTATTTTTGATTTATTTCTTTACAGGCTTTCCATAAATATTTAACATATGAGAAAAACCACAATGAATTGCTTTACTTTGCACTTCGAGGGTTAACATTAGATGCACTGGCATTTAAAAAAGCTATGAATAAAGATGCTATTACATCAGTAGAAATTCCTGAGAAAAGTTTACTTGAAAGGGTAATATATATGTATTATATGATTATAAATAATTTTTAATGAGTGAAAAAATTGTATTAAAAAAAAATATTTTTTCAGGCTAAACAATTCAAAGTGTATAATCTTGCACCATTCTACAAAAGCAACTTGTTTTTGTCTAATGACTTTTCATATGATTCTAAAAGAAAAGTTATTGTACAAACTCTGCATACTGTTGATGAAGATTAGTTTTTTAATCATTTTTATTCATGTACAATCATATTTTTAAAAAAATATATTTTGCTTTCTTTATTTTATTTGTATATTTACTGTTTGCTGTGTTCCTTTTACACAGTTTCTAGCTGTATCTCATCAAAAATAGTCAATTTTGATAAAGAAAACTAAATAGTTACTAGATTACTTTTAGTTTTTGCATGATTTTTTCAATAATGATTATAGAAAAATGTATTCATTAATGTTTTTCGTTTTATCTATGAATTAGAAAATATAATTTTTCAATTGTTGCATTTTTTGCATGAATCTTTTCAAAAAAAAATTATTTAATCATCTTAACTACTATAAAAGCTGAGTGGTGTTCATTGTTAAAGGTATAAAATGGTAATTTAAAAATTAATTAAATTACATCTCATGAATTTCAATGCCTTCTTTTTTTCTTATTTGACTTTGATTTTTTGGCTTCAATACTTGAAGTGCTACTGTCACTACTAGAGTCACTGCTATCTGAAGAAGTACTGGAGATGCTATCACTTGAATCAGATTCACTATTAGACGAACTACTGCTACTCGATGTGCTACTGCTACTATTACTATCACTGTCACTATCGCTATCGCTGTTGCTATCACTGTCACTGTCACTGTCGCTACTTGTGCTGGATTTATCCTTTATTTTAAGTTTAGAATTAGTAGACTTTTTTTCTTTTGATTCTCCTTCTATGGCTCTAAAAGTAAACGAACAATCTTTAAACGATGTATATAAAATGAAAAATGATATAATACGCGTTAATATAATATACTCACTTAGCGGGTGCTTCCAAAGATTTTTTTAATTGTACAGTTCGCGAAGAACGGTGCAGATATTTTCTTTTTCCCTTGCACTCATAGCTCCAATGTCCCATAGCGAGGCATTTTTGGCACCTAACATTTTCCATAGCATATGGATCTCTGTAAATGAAATTATGAAGGAATCATAAAAAATTTGAAAATATTTCAGTAGCATTTCAATATATGGTATAATATTCATAAAAAAACGTGAAAAATGTACAAAAAAATATTATACGCACGGCTTTTTCGAAAATTTAGTTATTATTCCAGAACTCATTATGAGATCGTTATGATGAAATAGTGAAAACTAAAATCGTCTGAAGTTGATAACTATTGAAAACTTGAATCTAGGACCAACTTCTTGTTTTGGGTTATATTTACAGAAAACTTGCAAATTGGAATATATCCTTTGTGTCTATATTCTTTATCTAGTCTAGAATAAATGTACGTATTACAGTGTATAAGTAAGCCACGGACTCAGTAGTCAGTTGATGAGAAATAGTTAACCTCCAGAATATATTTAAGCTAAGTTAGTTTCAAATTTTACCACAAGGATTGGCACTGTCACTTATTTCTTCTGGTACTCAAAAAGGATTATTATATTTACTCCTACATTTATGTAAGAGAGAAAGTTTAAACTCATAATTTATTATAACTGCATGCGTTTTAATCATAAACATTACTATTTGTTTGTTTCAACAAAAATAGAATTTGAAATGGAACAGATGGAGAAATCCTTCATCTAATGACGTCTGAATTTTTTTTTTTTGCTAAATAATTTAAGTCTTAACACTCTCAACTTTCAACATATATTTTATTTCATACTTTGATAATTTAATATAAAAATAAAATATAATGATCGGCGTTCTTCATAATTTCGTTATTCAACGCTTTTCGCTCGGGATAGTAACAACCGGCTTCCAACAGATGGCAGATCGCTATATCTGTGCATGCACATTACGGCCGCATCTTTTAGGCTGTTATGTATTTTTACCAAAGCTAAAAACATATTTAAAAATCTTCGTGGCTATGGAATTCACATTTGAACGCCAATAAGCTGTACTACTACACTGCTGCATCTTCGTTTAACAAGAAGCTTGTTTAGTTTAAATATTTTCGAAATATTTTGAAATTCTTTTTACTGGTGCACACTTCTGCGCAGTCTTATAAGTTATGACTCTTCAATAACGATCGAGAGATAAATTTTGATTACTATAAAAAATTATTTAAGATTCCACGATTTTGTTCCTGGAAAAAACAAATGATACTACTCTAATACATTAACAATTGGATGATAACAGTTTTCGATTTTATGACAATTTGATATTGTGTCGAATGTCAAAGTGTGCTACTTAACGTTTAAACTAACTTTATTCAACAGTATCAAGTTAAGACTATTAACAAGTTACTCTGCAGTGATTTTTATTGTAACTTTTTGTGCTCTTTGTTTAGTGCTCTTTTTTTTAAGTGCTATAATATGAATATTGAGAAAAAAACTCAATTATTTAATATGCATTTGAATAAAAGACATTTAGAATTGGTACAAAAAAAAGTCAGACTGCAAGTATTGCAAGATTTGAAAACCAATAATGGTATAATTATTCAGCGGAAGATGAACATTTTAGAGTGCGAAACGCGTGAACTTGTAAGGAAAAAACTCCGTACTTAAATATTTTTAAAAATCAAATAATACATCAATATATTACTTGAGGATAAAATTCAAAAAGAAGTGTGGGATCTTCAAAATCAGCAGTGCAATCAAACTTGGAATTTTTCCATGAAACACAAATACATTTCGATACTAAATGAGTTGCCAAATTTTCCAAAAGAAGTTCCTTTTGCTTGTGGTTGCAATGGCCGTAATGTTGAAAAAGGTTGATCGTACATTACATTCTCTTTAAAGTTAGAAGAAATACAGTCTACAAAAATAATTTTTTTACGTAGAATTTAATAGTAAACTATGTAAAAATATTATTTGCACGAGAATTTGCTTTTGAGTCGTTTAGCCAATCAAATAAAAAAAAAATTCTACATTAAAAAAATATTTTTAATTTTTTCTTCGTAAACTTACCAATCTACAAAAAAAAATTAACAAATTTATTTAAACTATTTCTTAAATGATTTTAAAAAGATGTGAAGATTTTTAATCTCTTACTTTTCATACAGATCGTTAAAATTATCCGTCAGCATGATTGAACAATTCATCCATCCATACTAAAAAGTTTCTTTATTCTTATTAGACGTAAAATTTTTATCTATATGAATTTTTTATTTAGAACGAAGAATAAATCCTCGGATTCAAGAACTATCGAAGGAAATTGATAAATTGGAAACTACTTTTGAAATAGAAAATGGTGGTATGTTAAAAAGTGACTTGACCAAAGCTGATATTAAATTGCAGAGCATCACCACTGATGAAAACTTAGAAATACAAATGTAAAACGATTATAATTATAAATCGATTATGGTGATCCAAATTATTATTATTATTTAATAATCAAGTTTTTATTTTATCACAGCTTACAGACCTCTTTAGTTACCACAGAAAAACGAATTAGTGCCTTGCAAAAACAAATTCAAGAAAAATTTGATTTAAAAAACATTAGGAATACTTATTCAAGGGATGAAAAACTTAATAATAATTCATTTCATACATGTACTAATTCAAGTGTATTGGAAGTAAAAAAACTGAATATTAATTCTGAAAAATCACAATTACCTTTTAAACTGGCAAATCAAAGATATAAAGAAAATAACCATGGATTTTTAACAGCTAATAATTACATAGAGAAATTGGAAGAACAAAATAAATTGGATAAAACTTCGTCTCTCGAGCAAAAAATTGGTATTGTTGGTGGTAACGTAAGTACAATGATTATTCACCACGCGAAATAGTATTTTACTCCTTACAATTGAATATCATATCACAACGGTTGAGATTAATTGGGTTAATAAGAATTCATTTATTTCATATAACTTTAATAATTTTTACGTCAGGTTTACTTTAAAAATTATTTATTTATTATTCATGACATAATTTATAATACATTTTTTCAGATTCGAAGTAAAAAAACATTTGTGTTCAAAACTAGAAGTCTCTTAACTCAAAAATCAAAACATTAATCATGAAAAATACAAGATTAAGAAACATTTAGCATACAACGACACAGAACATTATAGTATATTTTATGAATATTTATAGTAGTCTGATTTTGATATTGACATACATTTCTTCAAAGTCTAGAGCGAGCATAAAATTGTTCATATTTTATAAATTTTTTTCTCAGTACACCATCCGAAAAGACAGTTCATCTCACTTTTTTCATAAGAAGATACTAACTGTGAAGATGAACTTTTTAAAAGGCATTTTCTAATAGTTAGGCAGTGCCATAGGTCTATAAAAAAGTTAGTGAATTCTCAGAAAAAAAAGAATTTTAATTTTGACCCTGGTTTTGAAATCACCTTAAAAATCCGAAAGCTCAAGATTCTTTAACATCATAAGTTAATGACAATTCGTTTTTTCGCAGCCAATTAATTGCACTCCATTGTGCAACCCTTTCTTAGTTATACAGTCGGTTGATTTAAAAAAAACATCGTGTTTATAAAAATAATTGAAAATAATTATTTTGATTATAAAAAGTTTGAATTACTTATAAATATCTGAATAAATTGTTAAATGTTTGTACAATAAAAAAGCGAGTCAATTACTTATACCCATATTTTTAAAATAAGAATACATTTTGCAAACAAACAAGAAAAACTCTAATTTTATCATAAATATTTTCAGTAATTTAAATACAATATTTATTTTCAATACTTACATTAATAACTTTCGAAAAACATGTAAGTGTGTTTTCTTCATTTTTTTCTAATTGATAGGATCCAAAGTATAATAGTATCTCCAAACATTTTATTTAAAATTGTAATTAAATCTTTAGTTCTGAAGCCATAAAAATTACTTTTTGTGAGTTATAAGAAATGTACACAACATTTATTTTGTTTCAAATATTTTTACTATTCAATGATCAAAAACAGATACACTTATTTACCGAACAGTTTTTTTATCAGTATGCACTTTTTGATATAAACTTTTTTTACTCATTATGAATCATTAGAAGATATTTTTGCTATGTAAGTAATTAAAAAAATATAAAATTCTAACGATAGACGATAAAAAACTTTAATCATCGAAATCCATGTGTCAAATTTATAAAAAATTGTTGTGCATTTTATGTACATGTGTGAATAAATTTTGTAACATACATTTCAACTTTGCTAAAATCTTTGCCTCATAAAAGAGATCAATTATCACAAATTTTTTTTCTATTTTTTACAATTTGTTTTTTTACAATTTAAAAATTATGTAAGAATATTTCAATTTTATGAGTTTATCAACAAGCATAAAACCTGATACATGAACTAGAATATAATCACATTTTACTTTTTGAGATCTATTCTAAACACATGAAGTATAACACATTCAACTAAAAAGTTTTCTTTGTAATATTTTTTTATATTATAACTAAATAGTAAAGTTCAGAAAGCTCTCCTTAAAACTTGACACTTATTTATTTATTTTTTACTTATGATTCATATATTTTCTCAACATTTTACTAATATTAACATAAATTGATCATATTATAATTATAAGTAGTATGATGATAGATTCATGCAGACATCTGGTTTTGAAACATATTTTCTTTTAAACTATTATAATTATTTTCATAATAGTGGTCTGAAAGTGGCATGAATTCAGTTTTACTATGTTTAATAATTGTTTTCTCTTTTTGAGTAAATTTTTAAAAATTCTCAATTTTTTTCATCCAGGAGCATTCAAAGCAATCCAGGAATTGACAAATGAGCCTTAAAATTTAGAATAGAAGCTATGAGTAGAATTAGTAATGAGTAGAATAAATATCCTATAATTAATTAAATACCCTGAGCAACAATCATTTTTGTTAACTTCACTAAAAACTGTTTAATAATTGACACATCTTTATTTTGTATTACAGTGATAGTTATGTACATAAATGTTAATAAATATTTTTTTCGCCTTACACAATTGTCTAATGAATTAAATACAAAATATTAACTAATTAATTAGTTTATGATTTATTTATATTCACTTATAATTTTGTGGGTCATTTATAATAAAAAGAATTATAAAAGTAATAAATGCAAATAATGCAAAGTCTTTAAAGATAATTTTTGCAGCAATTTCTACAGCAAGTATCAATTATCATAAACAATGTTGTAAAAAATATTTTTCTGAACTATGAGTAAAAGTATGAGCACAATCAATATTTTATCTTTGTATTCAAATGAGAGATCTATGGTTATTACAATTCTTATAATAGAAATATTTATTAAAATATAAAAATTATAAAAAAATTATAAATTAATCAAGTTATACCAAAAGATTTAGGAACATTAATCATCAATTTGTAGTTTTGAAACAATTGATATAAATAAATTAAGAAAATAAAACAATCTTTGATTGAAATTTTTGTTAATGATTGATTTGTATTCTTATAAATTGGTAAATTTTTTGAAAAGTTGTCTAATCATTATAGAATTTTAATGTTAGTATTCAACATCCTTAAAGTTAACATTCTGTTACATTGATCTATAAGGACCTTGCATTTTAAGATATTGAATAACAAGAGAAGGTCCACCTACAACGATTTCTGAAGGTATTTGTGATAAAGGACAATTTTCAATAGACATAATGCTAAGATTTGTGCAAAGTGCAAGTTCAAAAGGTAAATTATGCAAATTTGCATTGTCATTGATGTAGAGAGAATCTAAGTTTTCCAAAGTTCCAATTTCTTCTGGTAAGTAGTTTAAATTATTTTCCCCAACACTGAGGTATGTTAAATTTGTCAAATGGCCTATGGCCCGAGGTAATGAAGTGATCTGGTTTGATTGTAATATTAGTTTCTGTAAGTCTCTTAGAAAGCCAATTTCATTTGGTAATGATTCAATTTTATTTTCTTCAAGATCGAGAACTCTAAGTTTACTAAGATTAGCTATACTTGAAGGAATGCGTTTTAATAGATTATTAGATAAAATAAGAATTTCTAAGTTTTGAAGATGCTGTATGTCATCAGGAATTTTAGTTAATTGATTGGTACCAAGATTTAATTCAACCATATTTATCCAGGTGCCTGTGTCTAATGGCAAAGCTGTCAAAAGATTTTCTTTCATGTTCAATTTTGTTAAATTTTTGGCCCTTGAAAATATTCCATAAGGTATTTTATCTATTTTATTATGTTCAAGATTGATAGAATGAACATTTGTGAATTGTGAAGGTCCACCTGAGGGATAAGCCATGAATGCATTTCTGGACAATGTAATTGTTTTTAAGTTTGATAAGTTGGACAGTAAACCATCTGGTAGCTGACAAACTTGATTTCCTTCAACACTAAACTCATCCATCAGTTTGCAATTCGCTAAAGACTTAGGAATAGTAGTTAACCGATTGTATCGTAAACCTAATCTTGTAACAGCAATAAGATTGCCTATTGCGTCAGGAATATCTATTAGCTCATTATGTTGCAGATCAAGTGTAGACAACTGAATACAATTACCTATTTCTTTTGGTAAATGCTCCAAATGATTATGTGATACATCAAACGTGACAAGATTGGTAAGTTTTCCAATACCAGCTGGAAGTTCTTTAATTTTATTTTCTCTCAAACTTAACATTGTCAAGTTTGTCAAGTTACAAATATTTTCATTAACATATTTAACTCTGTTAAATCGTAAAAATAATGTAGTCAAAGATGTAAGTTTATATACTACATCTGGGATTTCATTGAGCTTATTATGCCTTAAGTCAAGAACTCTGAGTTGTTTTAGATTTTCTAAAGTGTCTGGCAAACTGGTAAGTGAATTTTCACTGAGAGCTAAAGTTTTCAAATTTGTTAAATGTCCAATTTCTGGAGGAAGAGTTACTAATTTATTACCGTAAAGATAAAATTCTACAATATGCGTCAAATCCTTTACACTGTTTGGTAAGTTTGTAATGCTTGATTTACTGAGATCTAACCGTTTAAAACCTTCATCTCTACATCTAATAAATTCTTTGGCAACATCTAGATCAGCTTGAATTGGTTTACCTTTTTTTATTGTAGGTTTGGGTTTGTTTGATTCTGGATGTTTCACAGTTACAGTTTTTTTTGTATCACCAGAAATCAAAGTGCTCGAGAGCTTTTTATCTTTCATATCTTTATCCTGTATGAATAAAAATAAAATTAATATTTCCTTAAAATAGAAAAATTGTTTTTCAAGAGAATGAACACATTTTTTTGAAAATTTTTAAAATTAAATAATATATGATGAACTATTAGTAGCAATCAGTTGGAAATAATTAAATTTATTAGTTCCCTACTCATATTTTATTCCTATCGCGTAAAATTGCACCAAAACTTCTTACTTTCCAAATGAGTTTGCCAATGTAAATTTGAATAGATGAAAGCATTAGATAATAAATAAAAAATAAAACAAATTGTCAACCGTCATAAATTAGATATTAGAAATGGAGTATCTGACCTGTGAAGTATTAGTGGCAGCAAAAGGTTGAGTGTCCTTGAGAAGTTCACAAACTTCGGGCATGTTATCGCTTGCAGAGGCGGCAGTAGGTAAGCCGCAGCCCTCTAGATACTCCGGTATATCCTGTTCCTTCATAAGCGTATTTTTAAGTTCAAGGTAAATACAAATTAAATCGAGTAAATCAGACAGTTGCTGTCAACGCCGGTTTTCAGCTCAGTCGGATTTCGTATGAAGCAACATCTACTCAAATTATATTTTATTGACTGCAACCTTGACTGTCTTGAGGTGATAGCACAATGTTACTACGCTATAGGCGTGTCTTTTCTAATATACACTTATAGTAAAACTTTTATCATAGCATAGACCGATCGAATTCTACAAATTTCCGAATACCACAGAATGGAGGAGCTTTGGACCGTGGACGTGAAAGCAATGACGTTCGCTGGCTATATACTGTTACTTATTGCTTGACAGCAGATCACTAAACCCGAGAATACTAAACTGACAAAGCTCAAGTAGCTAGGTAAAGCAGTGATTCAAGCTGCAATAAAGTGTACAGAAAAACTTTGTTCCTACATAGAAATTTATGGAAGAAATTGTCGATTGAATGATTCAGCGCCCTCTATAATTATATCGAGACTTTGAACTATTGGACTGCTGAGTGCTGAGATGAGAGACTGCTGGGTTATACTAAGAAGTGTTGCTTCAGCCTGCAAAGTGCAATAATGCTGCACTCCTTATGTACACATATTGCCAAGTGCGGTGCGGCTAACGCAGCTTGAGCAATTGTCCCGTTGGCCTACGAGGCTCACGGATTCATTTTTATCACGTTTTATGTGTTTACTTCATTGTTACAGATCATCAAGAGGAAAATACTTATGATTTTTCTAAAAACTCAATAAAAGCGACAATTTTTTTATGAAATTAAACGTACCATGAAATGATTAGAAAAATTTTTTTCGTGTTAATGAAAACTTTGTTTTTTTTAATATAGGGTAAACCTCCTAGTATCCAACCACTTGGTAAAAATTCTTACTTTCTTTACTTTTAAAATTATGCATACCAAATACGTTTAAAAATTTTTTAATAGTAAATTTTGTAACAAGTGCGCGAAGCAGTTGACTCATCCAGGAGTTGTTTTCACCCGAGCGTAGCTCGCTACGCTCCTGTATGAGTCCACTGCTTCGCGCACTTGTTACAAAATATACCATAAAAATACCCTTTCGATAACAAAAGAAGGTAGGCTTTCGAATGAAACAACTTGATAAAAAAAGCTGGTAAAAATAAATTCATATCGTCTAGTTTCCGACCACTATACTAAACTGTTAATGATCCTAATCTTAGAACTCTTTTGAATTTTTGTTCCCAAATATTTGCAGCATTATAACTACATATAGGTATCTTGAAATGCTTTAGGAATCTAGATGGAGACCTATAGATGGTCTATTTTACCGAATGGTTCAGTATTCGACCAAGGTGGACCACGGTAGAGTTTTAGATCATATAAAAAAAAAGATTTGATCATTTATAAGTGTCGCTATAAATTTTTTCTGAAAATATAATGTTTAAAAAAGTGAAAAAAATGTTTACTGCATCATAATTTTATTTTAATTACTATTTATTCAAATAATAGCTCACAGTGGTCAGTTACTAGAGGGTGATCAGACACTAGAAGGTTGACCCTACTTCAGATCGAAACAAGACCGAAGATGTATATGGAAAATTTATTGCATATGAGGGTTTTGAAAATAAAACAAATATTTGTCTTTCAATAATTATAGATAAAGTACTTTAAATAAATAATATATTTTTTGAATGATAAATGATTAATCATTTTATTTTATGCAAATTATACCCATCCTTTCATATCTATTACATACAAGTTTATTAGAATACTTAAATATTCATATAGTTTACATAGTGTAATAAATATATTATATTTACAAAAAGTTAAGCAGTATACCTTAATGCTGTGATATTTTAATACTTCAATAATTGGAAAATTATTAGATATTTATACTTTTTAAAAGTTATATAAAAGTTAACTTTTTTCAATTACCCAATAATTTTCATAGGATTGTTTGAGAAGTACCAAGTCCCTATGATCTCTTGAAGTTATTGTAGTGTAAGAAGGAATGTATGATTCATGAGCTGAATGTAAACAATTTTATAAGAAAAATCTAAGTTTCTTTCATTTTCAGTCTCTAATTTATGTTTAATGGTTTTGTTCACTAATAGTTGAACATTTATGAAATTTTATGAAATTTTATGAATTAATAATACTTCTCAACATACAAAATTCGTCCAACAACGTAAGAATTGACTCATTTATGTACAAAAATTCGCTCTGAGATCTTGTTCAATTTGTTCACACAATAATAAAGACAAGCAATTATAAATTATTAAAATGTAATTGTTGAAACAAGTCTCTGATTTTTAAAAAATATTTCTTATTATTGATTAAATGAAGAAGAGTTTTTTTTATATCTTTGGATGTTATGAAATTGATTTAATAACCTTATTTGATAAGTTCAATCGGTTCAGATCGGAAACGATTAAACTTCTATTTTGAATTCGTTTTATGCTTAATGCTTATTACATTAGATAATTACAATATCTACTATTTTACAATGGTACTCTAATATTTTTGAAAAAAAAACATGATAAGATTTTGAGTATATTTTTAAAAAAACTCATATAATTATGCGAGAAAATATTTATCGAATTATATATCCTTTTTTTTAATTTTATCACGAATTAACATTTCTTAAATTATTATTGGAAGAATCTTTCTCAAAAGAACTTAAGACTTGATTATGTATTTTTATACAAAATAAAAATAAGACGTATTACAACGAATCTGTTTCCTATATAACATTCTCATTTTTCTTACAATACTGTTATTTAGCGGTCTAATACATCGGTCTAACGCGGCAGTTACTGTATTTAGCATTCAGGTTTCTCAGGTATGTTTATAATTCTTTATCTTACGCACGAGTCAAAAAAATGAATAAATAAATATTAAATAGATGTATATTTACATATCAAATTAAATCCAAACATTATTTTAGCGCATGGAAGTAATTTTTAATTTTATAATTAGTGAATTCTTTATTTGTACAGACTGCAGTTAGTAATACCAAAATAGTCCAGGTACGATTCATGGGCCATGCAGAGAAAAACATTCATAGTGGTTTTATTTTTTACAATTTACTTATTGTAAACTCTCATAAATAAAATGCATAAATTAATTTCATATCAAAGTACAATTTCTTTTTACAAAACTTGAGAAGAACCCAAAAATAGCGTAAAAATTTTAATCAATTTCTTGAAATACGTTTGAACAGCGTACACTTCAATTTTGTTTTCTGAAACTTTTTCTAAATTTTTCTCTAAAAAGCCTTAGAAAATATCATAAGAAAAAAACAAAAGAGTCTTTGAGAAAAATATTCAATTGAAGTTGCAGAAAACGAGATTTATCTAGCCCCGGATCCCTATAGTGAAAATTGTTGAGAGGAGTACCCGCCAATGGGCTTGAAACTAAGAAAACTTACTATAAATACTTTTCTTACGGACCCCACGCTTTCACGTGGACTTTTGGCAAATCTTTTGCAATTGAATAAAAAAAAATTCTATTTCAACATACAGTAACAGATGAAATCAAATAGAATCCTAAGACTCTAGAGATGACTAATTTTTTTACGTACACTTAATTTATTTTCTGAGTTTTTAGTATTTACTTCAAAATAACGACTTTTTTCCTATCTACATGATTAGGTAGTTGAGTAATCGAGAAAAGAGCCATTGAATTATATGAACCGCAGTGCGAACTATTTTTTTTGACGACTTTGGAGCTATCAAAATTAACGTACATGATTGTAAAGATGCCAGTGTTGGCTTTCAGTATTTGAATCACACTTCTCGGCAGTGAGACCACGCTGTGCATGATGACGTGAATCCAAGCACACAGGAATACGAGCATGTCGAATCAGACCACCTTCTAGGTAACGCCATCGTTGGTTCTCACTGCCATCGCAAATTTGCATCAGCAAAGTTGTTCCTTTCGCGTAAACTGGTAGTGTTAGACATAGTTCGTGATGCTTTATAAGTCCGTCTTTCGTTAAACTCCATTCCTGTGAAGAAAAAAGTTCAAGGCTAGCTTTGATCGAAAACATTCTTGACATTTTTGAGAATATCTGTACATACTTGATTACCGCCAGTATCGTGGCAAGGATAAAGACCGACACTACCATCTAAAAGATGGCCCATACTATCCAAGCAAGCTGTACCTTGTTTTAAAGATCCTCCAGGTCCTCCTTCACTCGTTGGAATTATCAACTCAGGGTACACATACTTAAGATACCAACTGAATGGTTTACAATGCAAATGACGTTTCAATTCTAATCTATTTTGAATGCTGAAAGTAATTATTTAATTTTTAGTGTTTAGGAAGGCTTTGCTGTTATAGTAAAATGTTGAAAAAAATGTAATATTCTAATCAAGTTTTTCCAAATACCGCAATAAAGTAAAAATTTCCAAATTATAGTATGTGACTGCATCCAAGCTAAATTATTTATGCAGTGCGATCGAGACATTTCGCACCGATTGCCTTTTTTCTAGTTTACTGGAAAAATTACCAGTGGCTTTGAAAAAATATTAATTATGTGCAAATCAATATCGTGATGTCGAATGAAGGGTAATGAATGCTAGAGTCCAAAAAGCATACGGCTTTTTTTGCCGGCTGATATTGCCTCTACTTTTTCTTTCCGAGCGACAAGTCACCAAGCGTGGCAGCAAAACAACGTTTTTCGGCCGTAACCATAGTACATAAGAATATTTGTCTTGGACATTTTTAAATAAAAAGTTATTCTAGCCATTTTTTGTCTAGGCATATTTACGAATTAAAAATCATTAAAAATTAAGAAAAATAATACTTTATATTACTTTTCAATAAAACAAAAATGTTCATTTAATTTTTTTCTAATGAACCGATTATAACTTTTGAATATTCAATAGCTTTGTTTTTCCATTTAGAATGGAATGAAAAAAAATGTTTTTATCTATTTTCAATAGTTTACACGATATTACCGCATACAAAAATTAATTTGCTTACAACTTTTGAGAGAATAAATTTTGAGAAAATCAACCTTACAACACCGATTCAGCGTAAAACGCCTAAAAACGTTGAGAAACGCCGTGGAGTCAAAAATTATTACAAAAACCCTGCGAGCATCTAAACTATCACGTTCTTCAGACGTTTGGGCTTAATACTTTTTACACGATTGTTTCTTCCCGTTAAAATTCTAGAAGATCTTGCTAGAATATACGTTTGACTTAGAAGCCGTTTTCCAGCTTTGTAACTTAATAGAATTTTTCGCTTATTATAAATATTTTTTCAAAATCACTGATAATTTTTCCAGTGAGCTAGAAAAAAGAAAATCAGTGCAAAATGCCGTGCACATGCACCTTGAATGATTTAACTTAGATGCGGTCATTTAAGATGTGGCTCCATATATTTTTTGCAACGATCATCATTGTTTGAAAACTACAGACACAATGCTATTTAATATTTTTTCTTCTTATCTTCCATTATTATTCTGCCATTATAATACTACTTATAGAGCAAAAAATAATACTCACTTTCCGTACGGTATATTGCGTGCCAGGGGCACAGCGTTGTAATAAAACTGTTTATAGTCATCCATCCAAACTTCGGCAGCTCGTCGAGTGTTGCGTGCGAAAACGTTTCCACTACCTCCTGGGAACGAGTAAGGGTGTCGCTTGCGAAAAACATGACCAACTCTTGAGCATGGAATGATTTCTAAGCTGCCTCCGCATTGCCATACTCGAAATGATATTTCTGAGACAATAACGTCATTAATTGTAAATTAATTTTTTTAATAAAATAATCATCATTAGAAAATGGTTGTAATAAAAAATGAAAAACTTTTATTTCATAAATTTTCAATGAATCTCTATGAAAAAAATTTGTCTCGATCAAAGCACATTTAATATAGTTCGGTATTGACTATTATTTAGGTATTTTTATGATGCAGAATAGAATTTTATTTGTTATACAATCAAAGGTTATATGTAAAATTTAATAAAAGAGCTTACCAAGATTTTCACCGCCCCAAACATCCATTTGAGTATCGTATTTTCCAAGTTTTTCGAAGTATGCTTTACTGATAACGAAAAGACCACCGGCTATCATAGGTGTTCTAATGGCTTGTGTTGGATCTTTTTGTCGCACTTGACGTTCTGCTTGACTTAAGTACTCCCACTTAAACACAAGACTCCAATCAAACCCACCCCTTAGATCAGCTGAAGCACCTGTACAAATGTAAAATAAAATATTTTTTTTACATTTAGAAAAATAAATGTCTTTTTCGTAGGATGCAATTACACTTTCTCGTTAAATATCTTAAAATTTTTGAGATAGTAGCAGAAGGATAAGTATTCATTCAACAATTAAGGGGAAATTTTCCATACATACCTATATATTGGAAATTATCCATGCTTATGACATCGATAACGGGGCAAACTACTCGAGTGGGGTCTTCAGCAACGCGCTCAAGTAACGGCTCTAACCAGTTGACATTGCACTCACAATGGGAATCTAAAAATGTAAGTACTTCTGCCGACGCAGCATCGGCTCCTTTCACTCTTGATCTCATAAGACCCTCGCGTTTTTCATTTCTGATTACTTTTATTTTATGAATTTTAGCCAATTCCTCTCCATCCTCAGCTGTAATTAAATTTTATTTTTGCATTAGATCAATGAAAAATGTTGTAAACTAATTATATATAAAAACAATTTTTAGTAAAAACATATTTTAGATAAGAAGTAGATCATAAAAATACTATTACTACTTTATCATATTTGAAAATTTAAAGCAGTCGTAGAAAAGCCGATTTTTACAAATTTTAACAAAATTTTACTTTTATAAAAATAAAAATGTAAAATAATGAATTATCATACTTACGATGATCACTAAAGTCATCTACTAATATAATTTCTTTGATTAAATGCTCTGGACTTCTATTTAATACACTGAAAATGAGAAAAAATACAATGCATGTTTTTGTCTCTTGATTTCACAACATTTCAAGTAAGACAGATAAAATATATCCAGGGTTCAGGAGAAGCTTAAAATGTAAAAAAATTCGGTTTCTGATTTTGTTTCAATGTAAACTAGAGGGGTTCAAAAGTTTTAATATATTTCCCGTTCTTTGTATACGTTAAAGACTGTGCGAGTGCTTAATTTTTTTAGAGTACTCACTATAATTTTTAGTTTCAGCTAAATAAATGATACAATAACAAAACTATGAATGTCCCCGTGCCCTGTGCATGCTCCTAAGTATTATTTACATGCAGCGCTCATATCTTTATGCATATTGACACTTTTTACGAGGATTAACACGTTTATATGTTGATTTAAATGGAAAAATGTTACTCTTCGCAAAAGGACGTCGATATATTGTATATACAATGTTTATATATTGTAAAAATATCAGCGCTATGAGCAAATAACACTCCGGAGCATGGACGTGTAACGGGGACATTTATAGGTTTGTTGCTGCATCCATTTACTTAGTAAAAGCTAAAAAAATCACGAGTTCTCGAGGTTTTTTCAAGTACTCGCACACCTCTATAATATACACGTTATCTTTTATTTACCTTACTATTGTTCGGAGCAGAGTGGATCTAGCTTCATTATGGAATGTTATAATTACTGAGGTTGGTGATACGTTTTGCCGCCACTGTTTCAATCGACACCTAAAAAACCATTGAAATGAATTAATCAAAAAACTTCGTTTTTTTTCACATTGTAATTGACATGTAAATTTGATGTTTAAAAGTTAATGTTGACTTATTGATTTTCGTAATATTTAATTAAAGTTCATTGGATTAAATTGAATATTGTGCAATGATCACGAAAGCTAACAATTTTTGTAATATTTAGTAAAAAAAAAAAGAATGAATCTGTCAACCAATGAGTTAAGGGGACATTCTAGTTTACACTGCCCATAAATAAACGATTTTTGTGAACTTATTGTAAAGCATAATCGATGTATAAAAGAATCAGTCGTTTGGGGTAGAATAAAGTAACTTTTAAATACGCATTATACCGAAGTGCCAAAGCGATGCCTCTGCTGGCGGCCACGATTTAGATCGAAATATTTAATTAAAATATATTAAATAAAACAATTTTTTTCTTCATAAAGGTACTGGCTATCGTTGGAATCAAAAAAATAAAATATTAAAAAAGAGCTTTATTTTGCGATTTTTAGCTAAAAAAATACTTAGTTGCGGCTTATAAATGTTAGAAATTCCAACGATAGCCATATATATTAGGAATAAGCAGTAAACATTTCAGAAAGGTTGGTCAAGTATATTTGCTGTAGGGTCGCCGCCAATTACAAAAACGTTAAGTCCAGGAAAACACGATCAAATCTTTCTTTTGCCATGAAATGCTGCGTACTTATTTGTACTCAATCCTGAGTTTGATTAATTTTATAAGCGATTTTAAAATGTAATAAAAAAAATCAATTTTCAAAAAGTTATAAACCAGGAATGCTTTCTTAAGGTTGGAAATGGATAATTGAAAATTCGTCAAATGATTGAAAGTTTAAAACTTTAATATAATTTTGTTCGAAGTAGATAAAAACATTTTCTGATGTTAATTTGAAAAAAAAACTTAAAAAATGTTCAAGTACATACATTGGACTGCGTGTGTCCGGGATATCTCGATTGCTTGGTAAACCATCTGAGGCTTCCTGGTTGAATTTATTTCTAGCGTATGGATCTTCTCCGACTCGTAATCCACCTCTTGAAATGTATCTATGAAAAGAAAGATCAAAATTAAAAAACTTCATTTTGGTTTATTTAACATATGATCGGGCTATTCTAGCACCTTTGCTCATCGAAGTAATTCCAAGTAACTCGAAGATCTGTAGTTGAAGTACGTGTGGATTCCGAAGAAACAATGGTAGCAACAGTTTCGGCTTCAGGAACGGCTATAGCGGCATCAACGTACATAGAACTTCCTAACGCTTGTCCCGAAGTAACTGATTCTTTCAAACGAAGAGCTTTATTTTCATTCTAAAGAAATTAAAATCCATTATTTTAATAAGCTACTTTCAAATAATATTTTTCAAAAAAACAAAAAATAGCAGTAATGTCGAGGCCGCAAATATTAAGGAAAATAAATACATTCCGATCAAAGTTGTTACTTATGCTTTTAAGGCTCTTATGTCATTTTTATTGAATATACCTAACATGGTTTTGTTTCTGAGCACCACGTGTCAACTTTTAGTAGGTTGTAGGTTTTCATGATAGAGCGTAGTCATTACATTGTTTTTACTATAAATAAGTTATTCACTCATGGCAACCGCAAATTTCCCTTTTTTATGTTATATACTGGTTATTATTACCAAATTAAAAACGCGACACTGGGTCCGAAAATTGAACGATATCACGCTTTGCAATTCAAGAAACCGAAATTGGGTTTCGAAAAAAGTTTTTTGTTTTTTGAATTTTTTTGTTCAAGTGCTTCCTTTCATCGGCGATGATGAAAAACGATGAAATACATTTTCCAAAAAGAAAAAAAACGCGGAGTAAAGGTAGAAACATTTTCGGAAATAAGGACCAGTCAATCAATCAAGTATTTATTAACTTCCTGATGTTAGCGAAACAACCAACTGTTTGTGATTCATATAGTGGACTATCTTTGTCTTACTTTAGAAAGTGATTGGATTTTGTCTATTTATAACATAAAAAGGCAGAATCAATTACTAGTAAAAATTATTTCGAATTTGTCTTTGAAAATGCAAAATTATCGTTGAATCAGAAGTACCATTAACTGGAATTTGATTCCCTTGTAAAATCAAACGTTCGCTTTTCATAGCAGCATAAGTTCCTTTCAAGTGAAAGGAGATCAAGAATGTGAGAACGAAGATGCATTGAAAAAGAGAGTTGCCTCAATTTCGATGTACGTTAAATTAATACTAAGTATCTTGGCACTGCAACATATTTTCATAAGAATAAAAATATACGTTTCCGAAAACGAGGAATTTCAATTTCAATCAATTTTGAACATCTAAGTGCAATTAAGCCGCCCCTGTAAACGCAAAAAGATACTTTTCTCCGTAAATATACAATTTTCGAACACAATTTTGAAATAGAGCATAGCGGAAAGTTCACGATATTTTTGTTAGTTGTAAATCTTATCAAGGAGAAAATTTTGGAACTCATATATTTTTAAAAAGATACCCAATTTATTTCTGCACTTTATGAAATGGCTTCACGTAATCGATTTTTTTCCATGAAGTGGAGAAAACTTAAAATATTATCTCAAAGACTCTCAAAATTGTTGTTATTTTTATGTCATGATAAATTAAAGAGCTTTGGCACTAGCATCAAATGAAAATTTTGACTTGAAGTTATAAAGATAGTTCTAGTAGTTTCAATAGTGTTCTGTAATGAATAAATATCATACGATATTCTATATTAACCGACAACTGTAATTTTATTCAAGTTTGTGAATTAATAAATAAATTTTTTCTTTACGTTTAGCTTGTTCTAATGTAAAATTGCAAAGAATTATAACGGTGGTTGAACAGACAAGATCACGCATTGCAACGGTGAAAGTTGAAGGGTGAATCAGAGCCGGATGGAGTAAGCAGTGGTGAAGTACCAAGCGATGATTTTTTGCCAACACGTTTTATGGAAATGCGCGCGCATCGTCGTCCAGGAGAACCGTTTGACTATATAAAGGAGACCTACCTTGTTGTCTCGCATGGCGTGGTAATAGTAAACAAAGCCAAACATCCAAGCGCAGGATAATAGCAAAACAATCTTGATGTTGCGCCTCATCGTGATGATAATACTAAAAAGAGCCTTTGACAGCTGTGGCCGGTGTTTAACCTTCTGGCAATAGCTACCCCCAAAAGTAAGGTAGTAATGAATTAGACTCCGCTGCAGCCTTCGATTGTTGCTTCCAACTTGGAACTATGACTTGATAATTGCACTGCATCACGAATTCATTACTCCACTTAGAGACAGGATATGAACTAATGATGACGATGATAAGAACTAGAACTATGGTGTCGAAAATACTATAACCTTCGTTTCGAGTGCTTGAGAACAAACATTTTTGCCCTTTTATTGTAAAAACCATTAATTTAACTACATCGTGACCAAATTAAATATCTGGATAATCGTAGCTTGCAGACTGTCGAAACGATACTGGTGCAGTATCCTGTATCGTTCGCAGCAGCACTCAGCAGCAGCGAGAGCTGCTGTTTGGTGCTTACCGCAATCGTCTGCCCGTGTCAGGATGTATTTGCTGTAGACGCGACTGCGTACGTACTGCAATTCTCTTTGCTTTCTCTCTCTCTCTCTCTCTCTCTCTCTTTCATTAAAATCGCTCAAGTTTATCCAGATACGGTGGATAGAGCTGTACATATAGAAACTCAAATTGAAAAAATTGATTTAAAATGTAATTTTACATTTCATTACATTTTACTGTACTTTACGTATCAACATTATGTCAATATTGGAATGCCATAATGCAACCAATGATATTAAATTTTATCTTTGTAATTACTTATTATTTTTAAGTTCTTTGAATAAAACCATTTTATTTATAGTTGACTATAATCTATCTATCGAATTTGCTAAAATATTGAATCATTGCGTTGTCAATACAAATGTTGTTGCTTTTAGTTCTTATAAATGGTTTGAGAAAATTCATTTTCGCATCGTATCTCTGTTTAGTTAGTGAACTAACAACTTACAAGGAGAACTTCTTACTTGCGGGTCACAAATCCTTATCAAACAATTTTTGGGAACTCTCAGCTCGTAAGCACGAAGCTTTCTGTGCTTAGTTTGATTCCATAAGTTTGAAGCTCGTTTTTAAAATCATTTTCTTTTTTCAAAGCTTTTGCGATTTTTTTCGAACGACTAGGGAAAAATGCTAAAACATATAAGTCATAAAATCAATCAAATAATACGAATTAATTTTTTCAGATTTTTTAAAAAAGTCTATAGCGATGTTCAGAGGCCCAAGATTGACGTTTTTTCACAAGGCCCAGCAGATTTCAGCCATTTCAGAAACCTCTAAAAGAAGGTGATGGTCAGTATAACGAAAGATAGTTCTTTCCCCTAAAATTGTTTCTTTTTCAGATAAAAAATCGCTAAGATTTAGTAGAGAAAACATCCTTTTTAAAATGGACTCTAAAGCCGATTAGATCGAACTATAGGCATAGGAGACTTCATATTAAATATTCAAAGAAATAATTTGGTAAGGATCTGTGACAAGAAGAGAAGCTAGGATCTATTTTTTCGGAAATACAATTATGCAGTTTTATTACAGATGCACCCGTGAATTATTCATCTTACTTGTACTAATATTTAAAAGTATATTTTTAAATCATCAATTCCTTGCGGGTTTAAAAAAATAAATAAATATATAAATATTTCATGGTCATTTGAATACTTGTAATTCAGAATATATTGTTGCACAATTTTTCACTGATACGTACACTCAACCTGGCGTATGCAAAAACTGATTTAATTGATCTTTTATGTAAGGGTTCGGGAAAGACAACTAGCTGTAAATTTAATTTTTAATTCTAACGTGATAATTTTCGATGTCAGTATAAATTTATTTATTATTCTTTAAACAATTTAATATATATATATATAAAAGTTTATAATGAAACAATTTAACATGGCTGGCATGAATTGAGACTCTTGCAGGTCAATTTATTCGTACAGACAAGTACCATGCATAAAGATGAACGAGCTCAAATAATTGAAGGACTGATTTCGAATCAATGCAAAAAAATTAAAAAAATGCACTTTCATAGAGATTAAAGGAACAAGACGTATTAAAAATAAGACGAAACATCAACTAGATTATAATAATAAAAAAAAATAATAATAAATACGTGAGAAAGTGTACAACATACTAAATACTGGTGATTCATTGTACGATAAACAGTTAGAAAACTGAAAAATATAATATATTGCTATCAATTTTAGCTGCTCTTACAGTCACGTAAATATAAAACTACTCGAAGGAATTTACCAGATTGTGAACACGTGCGCTCGGTTGCTTTCACCGAGGTGTTGCGAAGATTTGAAAGCCAATGCAAGAAGATACCGAGAGTGCACGGAGTATCGGAGCCAAAATTTACATGCTCCTTGTGAATTAACTTTCATTTGTTGGCTTGCGACATGTTTGCTGGATGTGATGAAAGTAAGCATAACTGTATCGAATGATCTCGAACACATAAACATTTATATGCTAATAATATAAATAAATAATCAATAAATTATTCATATAAACTTTTCTTTTAAATTGCAATTAATTTTTAATTATCAATCATAGAAATATCCGTTTTGCAGATATGTATTGTTTAAATTAAATCTAAGTGAATTCAAAGATATCATAAAAATATTGAGTTCAAGCCACATACATCAATTTTTATCAGTTGTTTTCCATAATTTTCAAAGACGTATGTACCAAAAGCCAACATTTTATTATATATTAAAGCTTTTTATTATATGTTTAGTTTTTCTCCCAAGTCAGAATGAAATAATCCAAAATTTAAGTGAAATAATCCTAATTTACTTTTTGGCAAATTGTAATTTACTGATTGCTTCGTAAAAAAATAATTCATTTTTAGTAAGTAGACTTTTTTTGAAATTATAACTGAGAGAACTGAAAAGTGAAATTGCCTCAGTAAATTAGTCGGAAAAAGTAAAAATTTTGCTATATTACGGCTTTTCTTAAGTGGTTTTCCAAATGTTGAATAAATATATAAAAATACTATTAATTAAACGTTTTTTTTATTTCATTGAAGATATCGTGAGCTTACAATTTTGGGAAAAAATGTTTTATACTTAAAATAAACAATAACAGCTCTAACATTATATACCACTCTTATTTTGTATACATTCGAACAAATGTAAACATAAGAACTTTCAAAACCAAATTTATCGGACATAATTAAACTATTTTTGATCGACATATTTTAAAAATATTGGTGAAAAATTTCCCAGATTATCAATAAAAATTTGAAACATAATGCGATATTTTTTATAATATTCTGAAATATGTTAACAATTTCAAAGTATAATTAGAAATTAAAAATGGTATCTCTTCGTAATATGCTTCATCCTGTCATGGTTTTTGATTTAAATACCATTAATCTGAAATAGAAGCTTCATAGTCTAAATGGAACTCGAAATCGAGGCGATTCTAGCTGAGATTATGTCCCGATATTTATGCGTGGTATGAAAAATTTTTACTTCATTACCGCGTTATTAAAACAGTTTCGAATATGTTCCAATTACTATTATTTTTAATATTACATAGGGAGTCTTAGAGTAAAATGACTAGTGAAGGGCCGCACCTATAAGAATACTTTTTACTTTACTTAGTTATAGAAATTGTGAATAACGTTTAATAATAGTACATTACGTAACTGAAGCGGGGGGTTATCTATCTTGCAATAGCGTCAGTTTGCAGCCCAAACGTAGCGAGGGTTGCATTGACACGTCACACGAGTTCTAGATTGACAACCGCCCGTAGTATTTTCATCACTGCGTGCGGAAAGTGCTACTTTCCGTACTCTCTACGCTCGGGCTGCAAACTGACACTTTTCGAATGAATATTTATTACATTTAATCAACAAAGCTAATAATATTTCTCAAGAAATAGTTACAAGGGTATACTTTTTAATATTTTCATTTTCGTATAAGGAACCTTCTGTCACTTTTAAAACTCGATGAAAAACTAGACGAACCATTTTACCGACTTGTTCAGTTCTGGGCCAAGGTAGAGTTATAAATCGTATAAAAAAAGATGCAACATTTAATAAGTGAAGCCATACATTTTTGATGTGAATTTTTAAAAGAATGAAATTAATAGAATCAGAAAAAAGTATTTATTTCGTCAAAATTTAATTTTTATTTCTTTGAATAATATCTTTAGCTGCCCCATAACTGGGGGAAGAGGAGGGGGTCGTAAGCGTAACTAACCTTTTTGTCCTATAAAAATTTCGAAAATTTGCTTCAAAAAGCTTGCTAAGGAGGTGCTGGGCAAAAGAGCGTCGCATTCGAAAGGGCGTGCATGTATCGCATCATGAGATTGTACATTCACCCATCAAACTTACCTTTATTTCTTATATATACATAATGTATGAGCATAAGTCATTCCAGTTGTAACTTACAATATACAGCAATATTATTAACGAAATAGTTTAGTACATAATAATACATCATGTATGATGACTTGTCTAGAATTTATTTTGTTAATTTTGATATTTTATATCAATCTTAAATGAAACCTAACATGGGACTTTGAAAACTATTAAAAATATTTGAAGAATTTCTTTTTATTCAAGGCGATTTTTTAAAAACTATTAAAATAATTTATTTTTAAAACGACTTAATCATCATGACAGCTCATGTAATGTGTCTCACTTCATCAGGTGGAATTCCTTTATTTGTTAGAAAAAAAGGAAATGGCGATTTGGTAATAATCATTTTAAATTTTTATGTTTGTTTAAATTTTTCGGAAAGATGCTTAAATTTTGTTTTTATAAAATCCAAAATTATTTTCAGATGACTTTCTCAAAAATGGCATCGTTAAATGGAGTTCATATGTTTTTAAAAACACATAACATTGAACTATTGAATACAGATATGCCAGATGCAACTATTGTTTGGAAAGAATTTCATAAATGCATTATTTTAATTGCCATTGCTAATGCTAGTACCAAAAAAATCATTAATGAACTTCTTGAAGCAGTATTCAATACCATGATACTATTTATTGGTCTTAAAGATATTCAGCAACCTAGAAGTGTTGAAAGATTAAAAAGAGATTTACGCTCTTGTTATCCAGTAATAGATAAACTTTTAGAGTGTTCTGACATAGGTGATGCTATGGGATCTAAATCAGATTTGATTGATCTTACAAATTGTATCATGTGCTCCGAAAATCATTTGCTTCAAGTTTGTGTTAATTTTTAATTTAAGAATGAGTTTAACAATAAGAAAATAAAGTTTTAACTCTTACCTTTGCAGGTCTGTCTGGAAGGTTACATGGAATGTTTGGAATCATTATATGGATGTATGCTAATACATAATTGTATTGCTGTTGCTACAAATAGTTGGTGGTCATTGGATTTGATTGAAAGAAAATTACTAATGTTAGCTACAACATCAGAAAACAGTAGTACTATTAGACAGTTGCCAATTTTTTTACCTAACAAAAGCCCAAATGTTAGTATTATACATATCTTTTCATAAATTAACTTTAAATTGTCATTAAAAAAAAAAAAATAATAATTTATCCAGATAGCTTATCGTTTGGTAAATGTGACTCTGGTTAATAACATAAGAATTTTAGCTTTATGTGGACCTAATCCAGAATTGTCAGAAATAGAAAAATTAACACTTCAGATTTGGAAAAATAGTACAGACTTATTACAAGCTTCTGAACAATGCTATCCTAGAAATCTTCCAGCATCCATTATTTTGGATACAGGAATATTGGGGTATTTATAAAATCCATGATATTTAACAAATATAATTTATTCATAAAAAATGGCAACTTTAAAAGATAAAAATGACTTATTTAATTTGCTTTCAGGTTTTTATTGGTCAATTATAAAATAGGAAAATATGTCTTAAGTAGAAATACTCAACATCTCAAAAACTTCATTTCCAGTACCCATAAATTAGATACTTTGAAAACTTTTTATAATCATGCGATTGAAATTTTTTTAGTCTCAACCACTGAAGAAAATAAAAATGATTTAAATTGCAATAAGGCATCAGCAGGTATGAGAGAAACTTACTGGTGTTCGGAATACCATAAATGCCATGCATTAAAAGAAGCAGATCATATTTTTTGTGTTTTATATTCATCAACAGTACCATCTCACACAATGAGATTGTTAACAAAAAAAACATTGAAAACTTTATTATCTGATAAACAAGTTTGTTGGTAATGGTTACAAGGAAAAGTTTTCAATAACTGTGTTAAAATAATTTTATTAATTATTTTTACCAAGCATGAAAGATAATTCACTTTGTTAATAGTTCCAGTTTTGTATACAAGCAGTATTTTTTTTTACAATAATAATATACTGCAGCAATGGAATGAAAATCCTTGAAAACCTTCTTAATCTATCAATCAAAATTTACTAGGATGCACAAAACTATACAAAACAGGAGTTCTGTGTTGACTGACACAACTATTCTTTGTTAACAGCTAAATTCTTCATAGTAGATGAACGTAATGCCATTTATCAACTGAAAATACCAAAATTTGATTTATTGCTTGTGTAAGTTGATCATACATAAATTTAAATTCACATCATAATTGTTGGTTTTTAAAAATGTTTAAGTGCTATAATTTATTAATCAATTTGTTGGAAAAATTAATTTTATCAACTGAAATAAAATTATAAAATTATAAATTATTTTAAAACAAACAAAAATCAACAAGTACTTGTAACTTACCAATTGGATCAATAGGTAAAGCAGCTTGTGGCTCTGGAGCTTTGTCAATAACTTCGTTAGCTGCCTCTGATGTAATTTGGAAAGGACTATCAGCAACAGTCACATTAGAGCTGAAAAATGAAATTAATTTTAAAATATATTAAATGTTATTTGAAGATAATTGTTGTATATAAAACTTACCATGAAATATTGCTAGAAGTGGTTTCTTTTTTAATTAAATTTTGCCAATGTTTATGAACTTCTTCAATAACATGTAAGGCAAATTCTCTAGGTTTTGCTTCTCCATTGAAAGCAAACTGATTTTCAGGTTTTCCATCAGGAATTTTATAAATTTTAAACCACTCAATTGATGCTTTCAATAAACCAGGGTAATGTTTATCTATATCACTGACATCTGAAAATGATTAATAAGAGTTATGAATTGAAAGAAAAATAGAAAATAGACAATAAACAAATTATAAAAGCTCTTACCATTCATTTGATTAGCTAGAGGATCATTAACATCAATGGCAATTATTTTCCAATCAGTTTCTCCTAAAATATAGGATAAGATATATAAGATAACATTTCAGTGAAGAATCAAGTTGAGGATAAGATTCCTGATAACTTATATGTAATACCTTCATCAATAAGAGCTATTGTACCAAGCACTTTTACTTTAATAACTTCACCTCTTTTTGCTACCTGAATTGAATTTTAATTTTTTATCAAATAAATCATTCAAATGGTGAAAAATATTAAACATTAAAAAAATTTACCCTATATCCTATCTCTAAAACATCAATAGGATCATTATCTCCTTTAAAACCAGTAGACTCATCCAAGACATCAGGATTTTCCCAAGTCTGTAATAAAATTTAAAAGTATTTTAGTGTTTTTAAGATTCATGTAAAAATTTAACTCTGGGCTACTTGGATTATTTTCAAAAGCAACATATGATAATATATTTAACAACATTTTTACCTGTGGAAGAGCTCCATAATTCCAGATATAACCATGATGTGGGAAACAATTAGCAACAAATCTAAGATTTCCTTTTTTAACATCTTGTTTTATGGGATTGAGAGTTTCTTTTAAATTAATTTCCATTTTTGCATTGGTCCATCGTGGTACTTCCACCACCATATTCATTATTTTGTTTGCTTTATCAGCAAATAGTGGAATATCATGCATTGGTGAAATAAACTGGTTTTCATTTTCTAGAAAAGAAATCATGAATTTTAATTATTTATGTGTGTTTTAATTAACGTTAAGTCCTTGCTATAAAAAACGATGAAAGAAATCTCGAGAAAGCCAATAATATTTCGTTCATGAACGAAAAATTTTGCGTTTAATTTAGAATAATTTTCGGTAAAGATTTAGAATAACTTTGATTTCTGAGAGAGTTACTTGCAACTACCAAAACAAGCCTAAGATTTTCAAAAATTAGCGAAGTTTTACCTAAATTTTTTAATATTGAAATTGCATTAAATACGTAAGTTAATAAATAACGAAACGATAGTAAGCGATATCGTTTGAAAAATTGACGTTAGATTTAGCGGAGATTCTTTTCAGTGTCACGGCAGAATAGTTACTACTCATTTTGTGCAATGTCATTTATATATTGTTTTTTTTTTAGATTTATTGAAAGAAAATAAACACTACATTGAATGCCTACATTTGTCTTAATTTTCGATTCGAGATTTTAATTTTCTTTATCTTTCCACACAATTGAATAAACGTAATGGCATTTTAAAAAATAAAAGCCGGGAGAACTGTCAATATGATTGAAAAATTTTTTGTGTCGTTGAACAGAAAAATACAAAAAGTACCAGTGATTTTGATAGACGTTGATAATTTGGTGGGATTTCATTTGCTCAATATAATATAAATTTCACGTTTATAAGGTGAAACGAATCCACTTTGCAAGCACGTAACATAAAATATCGACGTGAGAATAATTAACGCATGCCACAGAGGTTAAAATACGAAAGTTGAATTTAAACTTGTAAATGACGAATTATCTTATTTTAGATGTTCAATCTATTATTGTAATGGCATCGATGAAATTAGTCGCTAAATTCATTGAAGTTTGATTTATGCATAGAATATATTAGTTAAGCTCCTTGACCTTCGTATGACGCTTGTATCTGCGACAGTTAAAAACGCGGAAATACAGACTCAAGTGATAAAAAAATTATTGCTTATCTTAAGTTTTACGTCAGCATAGACAAAGAAAACGGAGATGCTAAACTGAGGATATTGCAAAATCGAGGAAAGATTTTTAAATGAAAACTTTCTAAAAAGGGACAATAACCCAAATGAAAGTAAAGATTGAGATGTATAGAACGCAGGTATGCGCAAAAAGGTTAGCTAATAATTCAAGGTGATTCGCTGACAGGGACATATGAGAAATTATGAAATGCTGATAAACTTACTAAAAAAGAGTCTATAGTCGGTCGAATTAGGCGCCCCTCGCTCAACAGTACTATAGCTTGCAGACATTCTGTTAATGTTTAATAGATTACGTGGAGATAATTTAACAATTGGATTAGAAAAAAATTTGCAGGCGCTCGAGCCAGTCGTGTTCAATCTGCCACCGGCACGTAACACGTGCAACACTACTGCTACGGACATATTCATGTATAACGCGCGACCACGCAAGCTGCTGCTGGCTGCGGCGCTCGCGTTCGGGACGCCGCCACATTTTCATCATATCCTATGCTTAAGCCACGCAATTTGCTTTTTTCACTACACCTAGTCAAATGTGTCTGGTATTTTTGTGACGTAGGTATTACGAGTCGATATATATGAAAGTGTCATGGAGCGGGGCTTATTTGTATTTCGCCCCTCAGTTAACCGAGCGCCTGCTCGGTATTCCCCTCTGACGATTAATCTAAATAGTCAACGCGTAAGCACAATTGCAATAAGCTCTAATGTCATACGATTGCTTGACTCTGGGATGCATCGAGTAAGCTCCAATATTTCCTGGCAATTGCGTAAAGCATTTTTTCGTCGTCGACGTTACAGAAAAGTTTGGGCGTTATATGTGCAACGTCACAACTTCATGTAGTTAAATTAAAATTAATTTGATGCTTGCTTAATGATGCAAAAAAATTGTCCAGGCCCTGATAAAAAGATCTCTCAATCATGCTGCATTATAAGATCTATTGTAGGGTAATAAGCTTATTGAGCCTCGTCAATTTTGATTAATTTGAATTAAAGCTCAGTTAAGTAATGCAGCTTTCATGGACCGCATGTTTCTATTTTCCCATGTGTTTGTTTGGCGGTAATTAGAAAATAGTATTATGATCATCACGAAGTTGAATGGAGCCGCTTGGGAGTCGTGCAAAAGCGCTAGTTTTCCAGGACTCACGCAATGTGAATCAAATAATAGAAAATTATGCAAGATGCAGAACCGGCGCACATGTAGATAAAGTTCCATCTCCCGTACTTACGAAAAAATATTATGTTACAAGTTATCGCGATGGTAAACTTCGCTTTAATGAATTCAATTCAATGTTTACAATTAATAATTTTCATGTGCGCACTCATCCCGTATTGATGTAAACAAAAACAAAGAGACATTTTTGTTATGAATTCCTGCAGCATTTACACGTGAGACAAAATTGCGTAGATCAATCTTAAACTTTGAATACATAAGTCTCTTGTACTAACAAGTATTCCATATTATAATTCTTATAGGTTTTTGTGATCCAAGATGACAAATCTTACAAATACTATGAAGAAACATAGAGTGGAATTGCAAGTGGTTGACATTTTGAAAACTACAAGTTAGTTCATTCTTTATTTTTCAATTTTACAGTATGTTTAAAAATACCTCAATTATATCATCTTTCTTTTCTAAAATAGACTATTCTCTTAACATTGTCAGTAGGCATAAAGAAAATATTGTACATATCAGTGCTGCTAACAATTGTACAAACATAATAAAGTGCATCCTAGGCAAGTACAATAAATATTGCTTAGAACGTAAAAATGCTTTTGGTTGGACGCCTTTGATGCATGCTATAAGAAATCAGCACTTTCAAATGGTTCAATTATTATTATATTCTGGTGCAATTGTAAATGATTTTTCTTTTTTGGGTAAGTATACAATTTTTTAACATAAAAAAAATTCTGTCCTCATTTTAATTTGATTCTTGTAAAATAGGATTATCTGTTCTAAGTTTGGCATGTGCCATTAGTGAAAAAATGTTTGATTTAGTTTATAAAAATGATCCAGGAGCTTTGGAAAATGCTGCTCATGATGATATCAATCCATTATGTGTAGCTGCATTAAAAAATGATAAAAATCTATTTTTCAAACTTATAAGCCTTGGATTAAAAGTTGATACAGCCAGTAAGTATTTGAGAATTTTAATAAAAAATTTTACTGTCATGAGCTACTTAATTATTTTAATATTTCAGATATTTTTACTCATACAATGATGAAACGTTCTTCTGTACCAGAAATTGTTGCTTTAGCTAAATCACATTCATTCATTGAAGATTATTGGAATGATTTAACTGACATTCACGATTTTGTTATTTGTAGAGATAATGACAGTATTTTAAATGCAACTAATAATGTTATTAGAGAAATAGATATAAGTAGCTCAAAATTAAATAATTTTATCCCAGCAATACACATAGATAATTCTGATACAAAAAATTGGTTGAAATATTCCAAAAGAGAAATAAAATCTTTTCAATATCTAGAATCATCTGTAAATGACTACTTATCTAAAAATGATGTATCACCTATGCTAACTTATTCCAATAAATTTGTATTTCCTACATCGCCTAATGTATTTGTTGCTGAAAATAATTCCTGCCATGAATTTGAAAAATTCAAGTTGGATATTGGTGACAAAGGTATTCCTTCAGAACTTTGTGATGCTAGTTCAAATGTTGAAAATAATCTAAACAATGATGAAGTATCTCCATTAGTTTTGAAACGGTACGTGAATAAAATCAATATTTTTCATTTGTAATTTTGATTAAATTGTTGTTTATTTTAATATTATAGGTGCCAACACTCCCGACCACCCAGTTTGAGGCTAAGAAGTGCTAGCAATGATTCTGATATTACATTGAGTTTCACACCAAAGTTTAGTCCTAGTAAATCGCCTAATGCGCTACATAATAATGACGAAGAAAATGTTTTTGATGATTCAACTCCAACACCACCTAAATATAGAACTCCACCAAATGGAATAATATTAGATCCTGGAATTAGGAAGCTCATTCATATATTAAAAAGATTTGGGTTTAACAAACATATTCCTGTATTCATTGCACAAGAAGTAATTTTTATTGATTCATTACAAATACACTGTATTATAAAGTTTTTGATTCTAAAAATAAAATTTTTTTAGGTGGATTTGGAATTGTTTTATAGTCTTTCTGATCGAGATTTGCAAGAAATTGGATTTGAAGAACAAGCTGACAGAAACAAACTATTGTGTTTTATTAACAAATATAGTAGTACATTCAAACAGCTTTATAGTTTTAATTTCTAATTCTTAGAATAAAAACTAAATATCATACTCAAGCACTACCATTAACACAAAAGTTGATCTGCAATAATATTTTCAATCACTGATATTTCAAGTATGTTAATTTTGGTTTGTTATATTATTCATTTTTGTAACTATACTTTGATTATGATAGAAAATTTTCTGTACATATAATTATGCACCAATGCTTTTTAAAAGAAGTCACATGTTATTTTTGAACTAATTTAAAATTTTAATAAATTATATTTTTAAAATTTTAATTTTTTCAATACAATTTCTTACTTAGTCAATTTAATCATTATAATTATTAGCTGGATCAAATGTCAAAGCTTCAGTATAATGTTGTTTATAATTTTCATACTTGCCAGATTCTGACTCATTTGAAGATTGAGAAAGAATGTTCTCAAAACTGCAGTTGTTCTTAGTATTGCAATCCACTTTCAATGATTCATGTTCATTTTGAATTATATCTTCTGAAAACAGAAACATTTCATTTAAATTATTAAATAATTCAATTTCAAAGCAACAGTTTTAGAGAAGTAAATAACTTAATAATGAATTGCTTATACCTGAGCAGAAAAGTTCCTCGTTGATTTCTTTTACAATATTGTATTGCAAACTGTCTGTATTATGTGATAAGTTTGTACATTTTTTATTTTGAGAAAATTGGCTTTTTTCATCATTGGTTTCCTGAACTATGCGATTTTTCATGATCTGCCAACGTTGTTTGCATGAATTTAAATCTTGCTCTATTGCCTGCAGTTTGGGTTCTTGAGTATCTTTCACATTAGAAAGGATGGACTTTTTTAAAACAAGGTTTTCGAATTCATTAGTTTTCTGAAAATTGATTGGAAAAACCAATTTTTTCTCTGGCCCATATGTCTTACTTTCCAAAACATTTTTTGAATCTTTATCATTTAAAACGATGTCGTTATTGGAAATGGAAAGTATTTTTTGTGTACTTGAATTTTTGAAATAATTCATTTTTTCATCTTTTTCCTCTAAATTAAGTACTACTTCAGGTGACGGGGGTGACATATTCATTGAAATAGTTTTGAAATCATCTTGCACAGAATTACTACTATTGAAACGATTCAAATTCAAAAAATCATCTTCATCTTGAGTTTTATTTTTGTTACTTTTTGAACATTTTTGTTTCGTAATTGACAACTTGTTCTTTACTCGAATATCAGTTACTTGCGGTGGTTGATTTCTGGAACTTGATATTTTTGAATTTGAATATTGTTGCTTGTAATGGTTTCGAATTTTTTTCAAATTTTTCCAGTCCAACGAAACGTTTTCTAAACTTCTAATAGTTTTTGGATCAACATTTTTTTTAAAATTTTCAGTTATCTGTTTATACTCATCTATAAAAGATTCAATAGCTACACTTTTATTATCATTAAACATATTCTGATTTGTATCTGAATCATCATCATCAGAATTATTAGCATTTTTGTTAGGTAAATCATAATATGATATTATTTCTTCATTAAAAGAAGGTATTTTTTTTTCACTCCAAGAATTATTAAGCGTCAATAATTTTTCATCGTTCTCACCAGAGCGGGATAACATAAAATCGGGTAAGAGTGAAAAATGTTCAAACTTATTCTCTTTTTTTCGTTTTTGTGATTTTTTTTGATTCTGAAAAGTTAAACGAGGTTCCTGCGAACTAAAGTTATTCATTGTTTTGTTAAGACTGAATATTGATGATAAATAATCTAATGAGTTATTATTTAATTTATCCTCAGTTGGAGTAAAAAAATTACTACTCAATTCATAACAATCCACGGTATTCTAAAATAAGACTACACGTTTATATCGATTATTAATTAAAATGAATATCAGCAAATTATTTATACATACATAATTATTTACCCTTTTAGTTATCACACGCGAGTATTCTTTTTCTTGTCGAGAAGAATTATTAATTTTTATCACTTCGCCACAAATCGAATGAATTGATTCGGCGAAATCTTTGATGAATCTTTTTGATACGTCATCTTTATTTTCACACATGAGGTATTCAGGTAGTTTAGACAAGATACACATTTCAGGATAAGTGAATGGTTGGTCTTTACTCATCGGAAAAACGACTTCGTAAAAGAGCATATCCTTGTCAGTTTTTGGTAGCCGAAATGCATACTAAATTAAAAACTATGAGTTATAAGTATGTGAAAATTTTATATTTTAATTGAAAATTATTTTAATGCTTTTTAGAAAAAATTTTTTTTCTTTTTAAAAAATATTAAATTCATTTTGTTCCCCTTACAAAAAAAGATTCAGGCATATATCCAATTATTTTTGTCAATAACAGAAAATTTTTAGTATACGAACCATATTTTTCCAATGTCTACGTAGATCTTGATAAGTTGAAAAGGGACAGCTACTTGGAATAGTTTTTGATACAGATACTAATTTTCCTCTTGTTAGTCTAAATGAAAATTTCATTCATAAGTACAGTTGATGAAACTACAAATGATTTTAATTTCAAACGAATGATACTCACTTAGGTAACACATACACATCAGAAGTGTTGAATAAACTTAAATCAATTGTTACAATAGTAGAATTAGGATTAGATTTGAAATTTTCTAATATATTTTGTGCAACTGGTAAAGATTCTAGTGACAATGGCTGTAAATTTACTTTTGTAGGTGATAATTCAAGTCTGCTATTGCCATCAGCTAAAAAAGATGTTGGTTTGATAAATGAGGGAATCGAAATGTTAAAAATTTAGCGCTCAAATTTTATAGAAGAAGAGTATCCTTTACTATCAAATAATATGTTCCATGTCATCGCATCAATCCCCGATGGCAGTGATAAAAAGTCTGATCCTTTCAAATAGCACGATCTTGCAATCAAATTCCAATGAGGTGCTAACTTAAATGCAAAAGTATATTTCAAACATGTTTGGTAAATTTTTTCATCAACCGTCTCTGAAAGGTCGAACTAAAAGGAAAAATAACGATTATATTTGTACTAGAATAATTACAACTGGATAACGTACCTCTATTCTAAGATCGTGCAAGTGTTTTTGTAATCTACCAGTGTTGAAAAATTGTTTGCTAACAATGACATATATTTTATTATGGGCTTTCTGTATGGATGGTGAAGCTATACAGTTTCTTACAGTGTGAATTATCAATCTGTAATATACTTTTGTATAATTTTTCAACTATTTTTAACACAGATTGACTTTTGAAATACATATGAACGTACCTGCATGTTAAAATTTGATAGTGATATACTGATTTTACTATTGGATCGCGCGTATTGAATGGATCAATTTTACAGTCAACGCAAACCAAATTTTCGCGAGAGGGCAGTTTCAGACTAACTTCGGTCTTGAGTGCCATTTCGATACTGAATTAAGGTTTAAGATAATGCCGTTGTGTTCTAAAAAAAGAACCCGTTTAATTGTACTTAAAAAAACCGTTGACATATTTTCAAATATTTTTAAACGAAGTCATGGAGCCGTTAATTTTAAATTTTCGGAATTGCATTTCCAATCCATTCGAATGTAATCAAAGGTAAGGAACAGGAATTAGTACAACCAAAAAGTTTCTTCATCAAAAAAGTAAGTACAACTTTTTATTATAAATCAAAAGTTCGAGTTATTTACAAGTCTTAACGGATAAACAATCTTAAAAATGTTATGAGTAATTGATAAAATAAAACTAAAAAATCACAATATCAAATGAATTTTATCATTAAACATTTAGAGGTTATTTTTGTATTGACTACAAAATCCATGATAATGAATTGATCATAAAAGCAAATGAAAATTACACATATTTTTAATGAAATTTTACACTGATTAAGTTAGTTCCATAATTATTTAAAATTAAAGTAGGCCTTTTTATCGTCCTTCAACTGAAAAAATTGAAAACACAAATTTTAATACATTCATTGTTTCTGCATAATATGTTATAATATTTGTCAGAACTTACTGTATGATGCAAGATCGATTTCATCTGGTAGTTCGGTGATGTTAACGTCAAATCTTTCTTGTACGTCATTTAATATTTTTGCGTCGCCTTCGTCGCTGACAAACGTAATAGCCAAACCCTATATCATTAAAATTATTGGTTTGTAGCATACTGAGTATGATGCATGAGGAATATCATTATGAAAAAAAGTATGAAATATTTACCTTAGTTCCGAATCGACCGGCTCTAGCTACACGATGCAAATATGTGTCAGAATTTTCAGGCATATCATAATTAAAAACTATATTGACTCTTTCAATATCCATTCCTCGTCCAAAAAGATTTGTTGCTACTAATATTCTCTGAAAAACAACAAAAAAATTAATATATGATTCACTCTATTATTTTATTTTCAAATAGTTTGTTATTTATAATACTCAGGGAGAGAGTTCAGACTCACGATGTGATCAGAATTAATTAAATTTCATCATAATAAATGTTATAAAGTAGCACAAAAGATATTACAAATATATTGAAATAAATACCTTTTGGAAATCTTTGAATGATTGATATCTTGTTAATCTTTCTTCTTGAGTCATTCCTCTGTGAATCCCAATAGCTGGGAAATTTTGCTCAGTCAACAGTTGCGCCAATGCCATACATCTTTGAACGGACTTGACAAATATGACAACCTGAATTGATAAGAAATAAATGAGAAATTATTGACAATAATTATTCTGTTGTAAAGTTTTTTCACTTACTTGGTTGAATTCTAAGACATCAAGTAACTCAAAAAGTTTCTTATTTTTTTCATTTTCTTTCAATTTGACATAATGTTGTTGAAGACCGTGAAGTGTAAGTTTTGCTTCATCATCGACATAAACTTCCATGGGCTGTAAAAAATTGTTGATATTATTTCATTTCTATTCATCAAAGCACTCCTATTCTATTTTCCTAATTAATCAAAATCTCATTAAAGTTTTATCCGATAAAATACACAATCAAGAAACATTGATTTATTGATTTGATCAACTACAAAAGCTCTGACTCATTTAGTAATTAATCATTTACTTTAGTTTTGTTTCTTTCATTATGAAACAGAAGATAACCTAATCTCAACACTGATTGAAGTGTTATAGTTATTTACATACGAATTAGTGATCCAACCTCTAGATGTGCCAATAAACAAGAACTCGTCGGTCGCCTCAACACACCTAAGGTGTCATACCCAGGAATGATCAGCTACTTCTACTGTCTTGTAAATGACAAGCAATTGCTCAATCACACCGTATTTGCAATTGTCAGCATGTATAGTGAGGCCATTGCTTTCAGTAGTACAAACATGCGCTCAAAAGAATTTCGTTTCGGACTTACAAATGTACATGTAGTGTACAATTTATATCAAGTTTACGAGTACACAAGCCAGATTCATCTACATTATCTTTCAAGTCTTCCATGCCAGTAGGAAATTGGATATTCTGATCTATTTTCAAGTAACTACCCACAACAGAAAATTTACTTTCGTAAAATCCCACCCAAGTCTTCTTGAATATTTCTTTCTTGTTATCTTCTTTCTTCAAATACTCGGATCTTGATGCCCACCCTCCCCAGATTTGAAGTGTTTTCAAATGTTTTTTTAATTTATAATAAATATTGGGTAGATCAAATATCACATTAGGCTCTTATTTAATGTGATATTTAAATAAGTTCAAATAAAAATGAAAGTGGGAAAATGACTTGTAAAATCAATTATCTCATCTAACGGCACGAAGAAACTGGCATGAATCGAGTCATAGATAATCAAATAACTCAGAGGACATCTGCAGAAGTCTTTCCATTAATGGATTCAACCTTCAGAATTCAGCCTTCTTAATCCGGTATATCTACCCTACCCCGATGTTTCTTAATTGATATTTAAGGACGAAGTTGAATTTGAAGATGAAATTGTAGAAGTCATCACATCTTACATCTTGCATGAATTTTTTGCAGACTGGGCGAATTTCCTTTGACAATGTAGCGCTGAACATCATAACTTGTTTGCCATGGGGTGTACTTCTGAAGATTTCTTGAACATCTTTGCGCATATCTAATAACAATTAAGATGATTTATAAATACAACATAATAGTTTGAAACTCATATTGCATAAATATATTACTTACCTAGCTGTTCAAGCATTTTGTCGCATTCATCAAGAACAAAATGCTTTAAATTTTTCAAATTAAGCTTTTTACTCTTGATAAGTGCTAAGATCCGTCCTGGTGTTCCAACAACAATATGGGGTGTGGTAGTTTTTAGAACTTCCTCATCTTTTTGAATAGGCATACCACCAAAGAACACTGAGACCTGCAAAAAAGTCAATACAACACATCAATAAGTGTCATTCAGATTGCAATTTATATGCAACAGTAATTTGTAAGGATTCAATCAGTAGTGGGTAGTGGTAAGATAAGTGTCATCATTATAGGCTAAGATAAATGTAACATCATTTGAAATCCTCATGACTTAAAAGTTTAGTTTAAACTCAAATTTTTCTTACCTTAACTTGAGGCATATATTTGCTGAACCTCTCATACTCTTTGCTGATTTGGAATGCGAGTTCTCGAGTATGACACATGACTAAAACATAGACCTGTTTTTCTGTCAATTCAAGCTGTTGCAAAGTGGCCAACACAAATACAGCTGTTTTGCCCATACCAGATTTTGCTTGACATAAAATATCCATACCTAGTACAGCTTGTGGAATACATTCATGTTGAACTGTAATAAAAAATGAAAACTTTAAATACACCATAAAAGTAGTAAATATCAGACACGTATTTTTTTTTATATTTGTCAGGATAGATATTTGCAATCATTAAATAATTCAGTTGTCCCTATCTATTGGTATCATCATTTGAAAGTGTAGAATTCATCATAACAATATTATTATAAAATAAATTTTTTTTACCTTCCGATGGATGTTCAAAACCGCAATCAACAATTGCGCGCAGAATTTCTGGTTTCAGTAGAAAGTCTCTGAAACCACTGCTGTGGATGGACACATAAGTTCCTTTGACTTCCTTTTTCTTCTGAACAACTTCTCCGTTACCTTCTACAATCTGCTCAGTCTGCTCCTCGTCTTCGTAGTCCAAAAGATCATCATTGTCGGCCATTTTGCTTAGCTCTAAATTTGTTTCCTGAAAAAATAAATAAAATATACTGGTATAAAATCTTTGAACAAGAAGATATTTTGGTCAGAAAGTTCTAGCATGCAGTGTAATTGTTCGATCGATTTTTTGCCACGTAGATGGCGTCACACGTTCATGTACGAGCATCAAGGGGTAATAAGCGTTTCGTCTACAACTACTATGCTACGTGTACAGAAGATGCAACGAAAGATTCTAATACATGAGTGATGAAACGTTGCCGGCGTCCATAAAATGGCCAGCGGCTTATACGTTTGATTGATCTCTCTTGTACAAGCCTTCGAGAAAATCATGAGGTTTTGTGGTTAAGTTTGAAAATCAATTTCAAACGAAATGAGTTTATTGATTTTAATTTTAATATGAAAATATCGAGATAAATGTAGTACGCCATAATGCGGTTTGAGAAAATATTCTAGTCAAATCGAAATGAACGTTAGTTCAAGTGAGTTGCCTCGTGGCATTTCGTGGATCTAAGGTCAAGCAGGTTAGCAACGTCGGCTTGTGTTTCTAATGAAAAGGACTTCACTAAATAGAGTAATAAAATATTCATCGGAGAGGGTCAACAATAGCATAAACTTGTAATTTGAGAAAATTTAATTTTGATACTTGAAATGATTGAGGATTATTCAATGGATTTTTCATCACTTACTTATTATGTCGATAAGATGCAGCGCGTTGGACCGGCAGATTGCTGAAACTAGTGGTCCTTTACTGAGTTACAATTCACCAACGACTAAACTGCGGAGAGGCGAAGAGCGATGGCGAGACCGACGCTCTCTGAAGAGTTTAGTGGGGGAGGGTAGTAGGAAGTTGAGCGGCGTTCCGGATGTATACACTGTGCGTGCTGCCCTCTATACACAACTGCTCTGTTCAGTTGAGAGCTATTCAATTTTTGAGCGGGAAATGATCCATTAATTACTATACTGAAACCTCTTTTATTCCAACAAAATCAGTTTCTAAGCATTTACTCTGGGTTAACATCGATTCTGTCCGATGGAACGCCAGAATTTCCTACGCTTAAACACGTTCCACCTCTCTGTTGGACCAGACAGAATCGATGTTAACCCAGTGTACCACTGTACAATACTTGACAGATAAAAAGTTCTCTGAAATTATACATTATTTTTTCATTCCTTCTTTTATGAGAATAGTTTTATTTTTTTAAAGAATTGAAAATTTAGTACAGAAATTAAAAAAAAAAGTTAAACTTTCAATTGAGAATACTTGAAAGATAAAAAGTTCTCTGAAATTATACATTATTTGTTCATGCCTTCTTTCATGAGAATAGTTTTATTTCTTTAAAGAATTTAAAATTTAGTACAGAAATTAAAAAAAAGTTAAACTTTCAATTGAGAATGAAAATAAATTTGGCAGATGCTAAAGTACCCTTAAAATTTAAATATTAATTTAACATGAATTATGTAAGGCATTACTATTGTCGAAACCGAACTCACATTGTTGCTATGAAAATATCTGAAGTATTCAAAATGAATTGGTGACAGTATATTTTTATCAATAGGTAAAACGTGTATTATGAAATGAATTAATTTAGACTTATACTGCCAATAAAAAAAGCGATATTGTTATGAAACACCACAGCGCGCGCTAAATATTATAGCGTGGATGTACTATGTATAGGCAAAGAAGATAGACACGTATAGAAGCACAGAACTATAGGCGCGATTGAGGCTGGCTCATATGGTACCAAAACCAACTTCAAGGGGGCGCGGCGAGCAACCNTGGGTTAACATCGATTCTGTCTGGTCCAACAGAGAGGTGGAACGTGTTTAAGCGTAGGAAATTCTGGCGTTCCATCGGACAGAATCGATGTTAACCCAGAGTAAATGCTTAGAAACTGATTTTGTTGGAATAAAAGAGGTTTCAGTATAGTAATTAATGGATCATTTCCCGCTCAAAAATTGAATAGCTCTCAACTGAACAGAGCAGTTGTGTATAGAGGGCAGCACGCACAGTGTATACATCCGGAACGCCGCTCAACTTCCTACTACCCTCCCCCACTAAACTCTTCAGAGAGCGTCGGTCTCGCCATCGCTCTTCGCCTCTCCGCAGTTTAGTCGTTGGTGAATTGTAACTCAGTAAAGGACCACTAGTTTCAGCAATCTGCCGGTCCAACGCGCTGCATCTTATCGACATAATAAGTAAGTGATGAAAAATCCATTGAATAATCCTCAATCATTTCAAGTATCAAAATTAAATTTTCTCAAATTACAAGTTTATGCTATTGTTGACCCTCTCCGATGAATATTTTATTACTCTATTTAGTGAAGTCCTTTTCATTAGAAACACAAGCCGACGTTGCTAACCTGCTTGACCTTAGATCCACGAAATGCCACGAGGCAACTCACTTGAACTAACGTTCATTTCGATTTGACTAGAATATTTTCTCAAACCGCATTATGGCGTACTACATTTATCTCGATATTTTCATATTAAAATTAAAATCAATAAACTCATTTCGTTTGAAATTGATTTTCAAACTTAACCACAAAACCTCATGATTTTCTCGAAGGCTTGTACAAGAGAGATCAATCAAACGTATAAGCCGCTGGCCATTTTATGGACGCCGGCAACGTTTCATCACTCATGTATTAGAATCTTTCGTTGCATCTTCTGTACACGTAGCATAGTAGTTGTAGACGAAACGCTTATTACCCCTTGATGCTCGTACATGAACGTGTGACGCCATCTACGTGGCAAAAAATCGATCGAACAATTACACTGCATGCTAGAACTTTCTGACCAAAATATCTTCTTGTTCAAAGATTTTATACCAGTATATTTTATTTATTTTTTCAGGAAACAAATTTAGAGCTAAGCAAAATGGCCGACAATGATGATCTTTTGGACTACGAAGACGAGGAGCAGACTGAGCAGATTGTAGAAGGTAACGGAGAAGTTGTTCAGAAGAAAAAGGAAGTCAAAGGAACTTATGTGTCCATCCACAGCAGTGGTTTCAGAGACTTTCTACTGAAACCAGAAATTCTGCGCGCAATTGTTGATTGCGGTTTTGAACATCCATCGGAAGGTAAAAAAAATTTATTTTATAATAATATTGTTATGATGAATTCTACACTTTCAAATGATGATACCAATAGATAGGGACAACTGAATTATTTAATGATTGCAAATATCTATCCTGACAAATATAAAAAAAAATACGTGTCTGATATTTACTACTTTTATGGTGTATTTAAAGTTTTCATTTTTTATTACAGTTCAACATGAATGTATTCCACAAGCTGTACTAGGTATGGATATTTTATGTCAAGCAAAATCTGGTATGGGCAAAACAGCTGTATTTGTGTTGGCCACTTTGCAACAGCTTGAATTGACAGAAAAACAGGTCTATGTTTTAGTCATGTGTCATACTCGAGAACTCGCATTCCAAATCAGCAAAGAGTATGAGAGGTTCAGCAAATATATGCCTCAAGTTAAGGTAAGAAAAATTTGAGTTTAAACTAAACTTTTAAGTCATGAGGATTTCAAATGATGTTACATTTATCTTAGCCTATAATGATGACACTTATCTTACCACTACCCACTACTGATTGAATCCTTACAAATTACTGTTGCATATAAATTGCAATCTGAATGACACTTATTGATGTGTTGTATTGACTTTTTTGCAGGTCTCAGTGTTCTTTGGTGGTATGCCTATTCAAAAAGATGAGGAAGTTCTAAAAACTACCACACCCCATATTGTTGTTGGAACACCAGGACGGATCTTAGCACTTATCAAGAGTAAAAAGCTTAATTTGAAAAATTTAAAGCATTTTGTTCTTGATGAATGCGACAAAATGCTTGAACAGCTAGGTAAGTAATATATTTATGCAATATGAGTTTCAAACTATTATGTTGTATTTATAAATCATCTTAATTGTTATTAGATATGCGCAAAGATGTTCAAGAAATCTTCAGAAGTACTCCTCACAGTAAACAAGTTATGATGTTTAGTGCTACTTTATCAAAAGATATCAGACCAGTATGTAAGAAATTCATGCAAGATGTAAGAATGTGTTTTAACTCCTCATTGCCAAACTATTAGATAATTTAATCATATATTTCTTTAAATATATAAATAGAACTTAATTTATTTTCCTGCAGCCAATGGAGGTATATGTAGACGATGAAGCAAAGTTAACTCTGCACGGTCTACAACAACATTATGTCAAACTGAAAGAAAATGAAAAGAACAAGAAGTTGTTTGAGCTTTTAGATGTTCTGGAATTCAATCAAGTATGTATGATTTATATTTAATTTTTTCTGATCAATATTTGAAAGTATTTATTAAGTATTGACCACATGCATGAAGACAATTATATTATGGTTGTCTGAATTGTTGAATGATTCATACATGCGATCAATACGTAATAGATGAACTCAATACCTTTGAATCTCATTCAATTTTTTATTTCAGGTAGTTATATTTGTCAAGTCAGTTCAAAGGTGTATGGCATTAGCACAGCTTTTGACAGAACAAAATTTCCCAGCTATTGGTATTCATAGAGGAATGACTCAAGAAGAACGATTAAGCAGATACCAGTCATTCAAAGAATTTCAAAAGGTATACTTCTGTTAAATGAAACTTTTACTATGTAGTCAAAAAATGTAACTAAAATTTCTTTCATAGCGTATATTAGTTGCAACAAATTTATTTGGTAGAGGGATGGATATTGAACGAGTTAATATAGTGTTCAACTATGACATGCCTGAAGAATCGGATACTTATCTTCATAGAGTAGCGAGAGCCGGACGATTTGGGACAAAAGTAATATATTACATTATAAAAAATACTACAATAACTTTATCTTTAATGAATTGTGTAATTTAATTAGGGATTAGCTATAACATTTGTAAGTGATGAAGCTGATGCTAAAATTTTAAATGATGTTCAAGAACGCTTTGATGTTAACATTACTGAGCTCCCAGATGAAATTGACTTGGCTTCATACAGTGAGTATACATTATTTATGAAGTTATTTAATTACACTATTGAATTTATTGTTATGTTTCAGTTGAAGGACGATAGAAACAAGTGACTATACATAATGAATGTAATCTATAAATTTATTTCTTTACAATCATCAACTTGTGCGTTGAAGTATTCTAGCATAACTTGACTATGAATCAGAAGTATTCCAATTGATGTTTCAATTATGTCTTTTGTAAGATTAATAATTAAGTTGATAAATAAATTGAGTATTAAATGAGAAAAAAGTGGATTTATTATATTATTGTCTAAATTCTAAAAGATAATCTAATTTTTGTATTAAACTAATTTTTTAATTTTGGTTTTTGACCTCCACCACCTCTGCCCATTGTTGATGGTCCTCTTCCTCCTCTTCCAGCAAATGCGTCTGCGAATAAAGAAATCATTGAAATAAGTACAGATTTTATTATTTGGGTTACTGATATAAGCTTTTTCTAATATTGACATACTTCTATTGTTTCCACGACCACCTCTTTGATTTTGTCCACCTCTGCTTTTGATGTCTCCTCGTCCTCTCGATTTCATTTGTACATCTTCCTTGACCATATCTATTACTTCATCAGGAATTCTAAGATACTTAATTGTACTACCTCTAATGTAACATTCTGGCATTCTCCAAAATTTATCACCATCCTAAAATAATAATTTGAAATTAAGAAATTAAAATAAAAACTTTGAAATAACAAATTATATACCCTTGAAGTACAAATAACTTCACGCAGATTGATATTCATCCAATTATCACAGCTCACTAGGTGGCCATTGTAAGTTTCTCCATTTTTCAATTCTACAAGCTAACATTTTATTTTAACATTATTAGAAGTACTTAATAATAATATATGTAAATATAGTAAACAAATAAATAATTTGTTCCATGTTAAAATCTTACCATTGGATGATTTTGAGCTGTACGTAATAACGATAAGGGCAACTAAAAAATATCAATATATATAATTTTAAAGCATATAATTTTTATAGTAGGAACAGATGCTCACCATGATTCTGATACTCGCTCACAAAAGATTGCAACAATTACTGTAATAGTTATTTAGAAACAAAACATAACCTTCACTGATTCACAAACAAAACTTGATGTTTTCTACTAATGATTACAGTATTACACACTTCAATGTGTTCAATGATTTCCAAATCCCAACACAACGCCACCTATGTTCGTAGAAATTATATGCGTGAATACTGAATATCAATGTGCGCGTACCGGGCGCTGGGCGGGCGGCTTTCCTCAAAAATGACGAGATTAGTCTTATACATCTATATACAGATTAAAACTTGAAATAAAAATATTGGAGCATTGGAGGTGATAATTTGATATTTATAATTACAAGGATTCCACCTTTAGGTCACAGATCCTTACCGACATATTTTTAGTCAGCCCTCTACGCTAATGTTGATCCCATGGGTTTCGATAGGCTTATTTTGAATGTTTGTTTTTTATTCAAATATCACTTTTATTTTTTACTTGAAAAAAACGACTCAGGGGAAGAATATTAAGAAAAAAAAATCTTTGAATCAGTTGAAGAATGCGTATCAATTTTCAAACCATCTATCACCCATTTTCAGAGGTCCAAAGTTTACTTTTTTCTTACAGAAGTCAGTAGATTTCAGAGGTCTCTGACATATGGGTAATAGACTGTTTCAAAAGATTAGAAAAAATTCATTTGTTGGTTTCAAGATTTCTTTGTTCTTAGCATTTTTCCTAAAAATTGAATGATCTCTTTGTTGGTTTAATTGAAATTTTTAATAAATAATCGATCTCACTTAGAGCGCACAAATCGCGACGTACATTGTAAGTACACAGTTTCTATCAGATGACAGGGACATGATTGTTGCATGTTATTGAGAAGATATTTATTAATTTATTACTGCTCTTTTTTCAAAAATATTAACTCTGAAATTATTTCATTGAATTATTAGTACATTTTTTTACTTTTCATGTAAATCTTATCAGTTATTTTAAGGTGTCAATATCTATAAATTTTATAAGTAAAATAATTAATTTCGTTTGACTTAATACCTTAATCAGAAGAGCCCCCGAAAATTTACGAATCATAATAAAGAAACTTTAAAAATATAATATTATAAGTTTTTTTATTTATTTATTTTCATTTCAAAGAAGATAGGGACCTTCCCGTAAACAATCGACAAACATATTATCCATGGTTATTTTATTATAGTATTCATTAATAACATCAAATCTTTATTAAAAGTTGATTAATCATATGAAACTTGTAAAAATTATGAAGTAAGGGTAAAATTATAGTAAAAATTCAATGTTATTCTCAGCAACAGAATTTCATAGTATTTTCATATTTTTCAAGGCGTTTTTTTTATTATTATTTTATCATATTAATGAGTCTTAAATAGATCACAATACTTTTTAGAAAAGTACTGTGCAGCAATAATTTCTGACGTTTTTGGAATTTTTCATTTTTATTCTTGCTTTATAAATGTGAAATATAAAAAACTTCAAACCAGATGCAGAGTTGATTAATTTGTTAGAATCATTGAATTTTCAATTTTTTAGGAAAGTTTATTCTTAAGCTCGAAAGTTTTAACTTTTTTTCCAAGTTAAGATGCAAGAAAAGAGATCAATCAATTTATCTTGCTTATTCTTTTTTTTTTTTTTTTTATTAAAAGAGAAAAAAATGTGATGTATGGATAAATAAAATCGTCAATGATAAAATACCACAATTTGAGGCTTATTCAAACAAACATTTTATAAATTGTTATTTATTTGCGATTTTTGAAAAACTGTATCTTAACATATTTTAACAATAATACATTTGCGTATTAGATTCTACCTATTCATATAAAGAATGTATGTATAATTCATTGTATAATTGTATTATGCGTAACATAGAGAGATCAAAAAAGAGAGAATAAAGAAGAAATTTTAAAGTAGGGCCTAATCATCATTGAAAAAGCTTAATCACTTGATTTGCAGGCAGTTTTCAATCAGAAAAAACATGAGTAAGGTACACTTTTATTTTCAAAATTCTTTATAAGATATTGTTTCTTGATTCGTGTACCAAGTTTTAACAACTACAGTTAGAAAAATTTGTATGTTCTTATTAAATAATTACTAGTGAGCCTTGTATGACATATAATGCATGTCACCAATGGTTTTATGAATTAGAGTTATATTTTACAGATTAAATTTGTTTATATAAACATACTATTTTACATACACACTCGAACACACTTACTTGCTTATAGGCAAGTTACATTTTGACAACTAAATTTTTCCATCACACATTTTATTAAAATCAAAATGATAGTTCTAGCTTGCAATAAATAATTTATCTATTTGTTGAAAATTTTGGAGCGGAAATGATAAATGATCAATAATCTTCACAGTATTATGTGTAATGGAGTTTTTTAACATTTATTAATATAATAATAATCAAGTTTTATGCATTCTATTGGTGACTCAAAAATAATATTTTTCTATTGAAATTTATGCATAAAGCTACATCATTCGTTTCATTACCAAAGTTTAATTAGTCACTCTGAAATATTTATCAAATAAAGCTATTTTGTCTGTCAAAAACAAGCAGTGTTTTTATAAAAAATTGAAAAATAGTACAACATATGTTACATAAGTGGCTTTAACTACATTTATTATCAGAATACTTATGTAAGGATATGTTAAAGCTAGTATAAAAATAACATTTATCAAGCAATTTTTTTGTATTACTTATTAAATATCTATTCAAACAGCAACCTAAAAGTCTTTTTTTGGCTTTTAAGTAGCATCTTTAATACATATTTAGTAGATAGTAAAAAGCATGCTTAAAATTAGTAATTTTTATTTTTACTTTGGCATTTCCTTATCAAGTTCATCAAATAAACAATAGTTTTCCATGTAAAACAAGAAAATCTATAGATAAATTATACATGTAACAGCTAGAATAAATTATTTACTTTAAAAAAGCAACTATGATTTTAATCTAATTAAACACAGCTTTTGTAAGATTAGACTCATGTGGACGATATATATATGAATACTTGAGTACATAATCAATTTTTCAGTTGACTTTTATATAAAACCTAGCCACTTTGAATGATAAATTTGTAGCAAAAAATGCTACATACTTAGCAGTATAGTTTATCACTAAAACACAACAAAAATACATAGTTGCATGTTTTCGACGTATTTATCTGTATTGTATCAAAAATTATGATAAAAATCTTGACATCAATCTGTCTAGATCTACATCTATTTCCAGAAAAAATTTAATAGATATACTGTTAAAGTTTACTATTAAAAAGTCGAATTAGTTCAAGCCATATCTTCAACCGTTGGTAACCAAAATGCCATGTTTGTACATGCAGATGCTAGCATCATGTACTTTGGATTAAACTGGACACATTGAACTGGAGCTGGGTGATCACCATTTAAAACACAAACTTTGTTACCAGTATCAGCATTCCATACATGAATTTTACCATCTGTTGAACCACTAAAAACAAACTGAGAGTCTGGGCTAAAGCTAGCCTCAATAGGTATGCCTTTATTGTTGAGATGTCCAGTAAATGTTTGCAGAGGAGTACCATGGAAAGCATCGATTAGCCTGATGACGCCACCATTAGTGGATATGAGGATAGTTTTGCCATCTCTGCTGAATTTAAGTCCTGTCCAGTCACATTCTTTCTCTTGCGATAGCTTGAAGTTGGTAAACGGACCTTTATCAAAACTGCGCAAGTCATACAGTTTAATTGATTCAGAATTCACGCCTGCAGCAAAGATGAGACCTTCAGGATCATAAGCTGCAACTGGTCTACCTGATACATTCATAACACCATGACAATTAGGTGAACGTAAATCCCAAAGTCGAAGAGATTTGTCAGCTGAACCAGAAAGAAAAGTATCTTCGATAGGACTTAGGCAAAGAGATACCACTTTCTTAGTGTGTCCTGGAAAGTATCTGATGTACTTGTTATCATGAAGACTGAGATACCTGATAGTGTCATCAATCTTTGTACTACTATGAATAGCTGTGTTCTTAGCATGAGTAAAGTGAATAAGATCTACACCATACTTTTTGGAGTTGACCGTCCGGGTTTGTGTACCCTTTTCACAATCATAAATAACAATTTGATCATCTTCAGAGCACGAGATGAGGACGTCTCCGGCGGTAGAAAAATCTATGCTGTTGATGCGATCAGAATTCTCCCGAAATATTTTGGCTACCTTAAAACTTCGCACTACTGTATCTACAAGCTTCATGTTAAGTGAAAGGAAGAACTGCAGGGTTCAATGATGATGACAGTAGTAGTTTATGCGCCAAGAAGCGATGTAGAATGTAGAAGAAAAGCCGAAAACGATGACGTTAAAGGTACAAAAGTCAGCAATGATAATGCTCCAAGTGTCGTCAAAAATTGTCACTAAAAATATAGGCTTAATTTTCGTAAAGCCAAAGTAATAACCAGAGAGTGCATCGCCATGTTGAAGGTGCTTCTAAATGCTGAAAGGAACAATTGGTCCTTTACACACTAGCTTACTAACTTTCAGCTTAGGTTATTTGGTCGTGTTTTTTATCGAACAACGAAGCTCGCTGAGTATGAGCTTAGGAATATGATAAGTGCAAAACAAATGCAAGCTGCTGCTCAATGAACACTGCACGTATTTGCACGACGAGTTTAGCCTGCACGTATAGTCCTTGCACTGTCCTATACCGAATGGCGATTGGCGATTGTTACTGCAGTGGTGACTGTTTCGCCGCAGACAATGCTTTTCTTATATATAATGTGTGTTGGCTGTTGCAAGAGCATATATAAGCAGCGCACTTGGACTATTATGAGTACAGGCTATAAAACACTATAGGCAGACAGGTTTGAGGCTACGATCACTATACCTATGTGTAAAGTTTATGCCGAAGTTTAGTAGGTGGCGCCCATCCAGACTTGGTAAAGTTTGAACGTCATTATATAGCACATACACGCCCGGCGCGCATAGACCGGCGAAAGACTTTTACAATCCCTGATCCAATATTCATAAAAGAAAACATATGCAAATTCTGCAAGTAGGGTATTTGTGAGATCGGATTTTCGACGCTCTATTTACAAGAATATCTATATTGTATATACACGTATCTACATACAACACTTTTAACATCTCTAATTCGTTGCGCGCGCATTTCAACTACGTTGCTGCTCTGTGATAAAATGAATAAAATGATCGCGTGTCAGTTACAATGCAATGCTTTGAATTTAGAAACCCGATACTTTTGCTTCCTCATTGAAGAAGTTCTGTGATGGATCCAAACTCTTGTCAATTTTTTTCACTCGTTTATGCGGATTTCATATTCGTAAATTAGCCAGAATTTTCCACTGATTTCTGTAAGTATCTGCGTATGTATGTGTGTGTGGATATATGTATGTATGTGGAATGAGTTTTCTCATAAGCAGTACGACCAATCCTACTGAAATAAATTGCATTTATGGTCGATTATGTTAAGGATGAAGCCGGAAAGGTTTTTTTTCGACCTGTTTAATATTTTTAAAGTTATTAAGAATTTTCATGTTTTTCTTTTTTTTTTTTTTTTTTGAAAATTTCTTTTCATGTTTTTTTTCCAAATTTTTATCGAGGGTTAAAAAGTGTTTCTAACATTTCTAAGCGATAATAATAATAATATTTTCATCTATGTTTTTCGAAAATTTAAGTTTGGAAAATTGCTTTAATAGCAATTATAAATGAAATAGGAACGATAATTTTTTATGAGGACGCTCTTTGCCAATAAATTTGCAGCGTTTTTTTTTAAATAAAAAACACAATGAAATAAAATTATATTACAAAAAAATGTCTAGATCACGAATCACACAGAAAGTTTTTAAAAATCCATATTACAAAAAAAAGTGTAGAGACTTTTACATTGACTTGAAATTCTTTTCCACATTTCCAAAAGGAAAATAAGTGCAAGTAATTTTTTTATTTTTCACAAAAAGGTAAACGACCGGATCTTCTTGACAAATTATTAGAATTAGGCGAAGGCATTGTTTTTTTAAAGACAACATTACATTGTGTGACTAAGTTATATCATATGTGACTAGTGATCTCACACTTATTATAAACAAAACTTGTCCCAGCACCCGCCTTCGGTTCATGTTGCAACCCATCTTTTCGATGAAAATGCATATCCGTATCAGTTTCATGCAATATTTTTCATCATACAGTGCACAGGAAGTCGATTGTAACATTTCCCACTGTGTGGAGAGTAGCACTTCCCGCACACTTTGATGAAAGAAAAGTTGATCGTGACATATAGTTCAAAGCTCAAGCATAATGAACAGGCAATTTAATCACAATCGACGATTTAATTAGTTATTTAGAATAATATGAAAAAAAAGTACGTAATTTTGAAAAATCTTCATTGCGGACATAAGCGCTTTTTTCATTTTATAGCCTCACGCTAACTTAATTTGTACGTTCTTTTTTTAAGATATAAGTTACCTTTCATTACGATGTAAGGCTGGCCTGCTAATAACGAAGGCTTTACAATAATAATGTGAAACGTATGCGTAACGAACGTAGAATAATGTGCTATTTAGAGTACTTGTACGGTAATGGTACAATATTACACAACTGGGGCGGGAGATTATCTATCTTTCACGAGTGTCTTACTACTTCTGTGAAGTAGCACCTCCCGCATTCAGTAATAAGAACTTTTATTAAAGTTTTAGATTATGGTTTTGTGACAATGTATGCTTGCATCAATTGACAAACAGGAAAAAAACATTCATTTCACAATGTATTGTTTCAGAATTCTGTTGAATTAATAATCACAAACTTTGTTGCATGGGAGTAATTTTTTTAAAAGCTACGCAAATGTCTTCGATTTTAAGATTATTTTACTCTTCATCGAGCTTTAGTAATGTATAATTGAATGTAGTTAAAAAATATATATTATGTTATAAGTTAAAATAATTTTAACTATTCAAAATAGTTTACTTTTTCATGAAATTTAAGATTTATCCGACGCAATACATATTTTAATGTTAAGAGTTTAGTAATAATAATAAAACTTTCCAATTACTGCTTGCATTAAAAATAAGCGTTCTTTACTTTAGTTTTTTAAATAGTAATATTATGAGTCGACTTGTATTTTTTGGAAGTAGACAATTAGGTATATCAGTCTTACGCAGTCTTAAAAAACATAATTTAATAGAATTACGCTAAAAAAGAAAGTAGTATACTTAAAATAGTAGATCTTACATGAAAAAAACTCTGGTGAAATATTATCAATTATTATAAAAAATGTATCGATTAATCTTTATTAAATTCTCGAATGCCTATTAAATCTTAATTATGTTCTATTATTGACATTTTAAAGCATTGAAATTTAAACATTTTTTATTTTTATTCAAACAGCACATAATTTTAACTCGGCTTATATTATTTGAGACAGCTTGATTACGTGAAACCCGTATGTTTGTTGATTTATTTATGAGTTTTACGGGGCTACCTGTGTATGAAACCTCTGAAAAGAAATCAGTCGGTTATGTGAACTCTTTGCGTGTTACACACTAGAACGTTCTTTAGTAAAATTTTACAGCTTATTTGAAAAATGACCTGGTTTTCATGGATTCGTTTATAAAATCAGAATTAAGCACATTTGTTACAGTTTGATAAAAAGTAAATATTGAAATGACGAATAGCACAAAAAAATATGACGGACTCTCACCAATAATGTCGTTGATATACAGTTTAAGAATATTTTTATTCGCACTAGTGTTACTCGAAATAGATCTAAGTCATAGCTTTAATGTTAAAGTAAGTGCTTTAAAATTCTTAAAAAATTGAAAAAAAATTTTTAATTAATGATAACGAGTGATATTTATTTTAAGATTCAAGATATGTTGACAGATGATGAATACTTGAAAATATTCCACACCGATCGAAGTGAAGGTAAGTTAAAATTATATTCTTGCGCTTATTCTATCACTTCATGTAAAAACGAAAAATTAATCTTAACTCCAGTTCCAGATCATGAATTCATTCGAGTGAATTCTTCTCCGGTTGTCCAACTAAGAGAAAGATTATCATCTCAAAATCGTATTTTATCTTTTACGGCGTTTGGTCGAAGGTATGACTTACAACTTCAACTACGAGATAATGTTCTCATAGGAAAAAATACGCCTATTTGGCATGCTGACATTGATCCTGAAAATTCTTCACACATTATTTATACTCAACTGCCAAATGTAAGAGCTTCTATAATTTATGTGGTATATTTATTTTCGTGAAAGTAATATTTATTTGAAATGATTTCGAATTTTTAGATCCAAAAATTATACTTTCACAAATAATAAAAACTGTACTATTTTACAGTAAAAAAAATTTATATCACTGATTAAAATAATTTCAGTTCTTTAATTTATTGGATAATAAAATATTTTTTATCTTAATCGCTTGTTATTCCGGAATATTGAAACGTAAACTAAATTTGTCAAAGAGTAAAAATAATTTTCATCGTACTTAATCTTGAAAAATGCAATACAACCTTTTTTAATTTTTAATATTTTAAAATGTATGTTTTTAGGTTTTGGATGATATAAGTGGAATTTATCAAGACTTGGACAACATGGTTTCTTTATTAGAATCCTCTTCTAATGTCAGCGATGATGTATTTTACGTGAGATAAATCAATTTTTTCTTAATTTGATTGAGCTTTAAGGATGTTTGAAAGTGTTAAAAATTTGATTTAATTATCACAAAGGTTTTTTCTTTCTCTATCCATTGCAATTTTTAAAATTCCAAAATGTTTATTTTTTACCCAGATACAGCAGTTAAAGTGCTGGTCTTTTTTGCATACTTTACTAGTTGAATTTTTTTATTTTGTTGCATTTTTTTGCTGTTGGATGCTTTTCAAACATGCGTTTACTTGTCATAATTGATCCATAATTATCTTGCATAAACACCTAAGCACAATTTATTTTCCATTTTTCATTTTTATTGTAACTCTCATCATAAATAAAATTACTCATTGTTAGTTGACTTATGAGTTCGATCCTGTTGCCTGAATTTTCAATCGTAAATTGATGTTCTGAAGAAGTGCATACCATCTGAGTGCAGTAGCACAAATAATTAGCGCTAAATGTTAAGGCATAGATAAATGCAATACTTTAAAAAATTAAATGCCAGAAAATGAATAGAAAAAGAATAGTACATTACGTCAGTGTTGTAGTTTAAATCAATTTTTAATTTAAATCCAGTTTAATTCACGAATCAATATTGATTTTTGATTTAAATTATTTTAATTCAGCAGCATTTTCCGCGTGCCGTGATGAAATAGTTATTAATATACAAAGTATAAAATAATTTCAACTTACATAGTATAAAAAAAGACTCACAGAAACATCTGTATCACAGTAAAAAGTCTATACTGCAAAATTTAAAAAAATGCAATCGAAAGGTCGAAAAATCCTTGCCTGAGTCAAATATTGTTACACAGTAATGTTATTTTATGGGTTCAATATTTTTCAGGATGGAATTATATCTAGCGATGTCGCTATTAGTCCGTTGCCTCAGCGATTGATCGGTATAATTTCTAATATCAGTGATGATAATGCTATGATAAAAGATCATGTAGTTTATAAAATCAAATTTGAAAATTTAACATCCGATGAACATTATTCAGGTAACAAATTAATCACATTAGTACTACTAACAATAATTAACGATTACTTAAAAATTATCAATTTCCGGTAAATATTATTTCTGCGTATCCTATCAGAAAATTTTTTGTAAGTTAATTTAAAAAAATAAATTAAAGTTTGATTATTGTAAAAATATAAAATTTAACTTTAGCTTCTGAAATTGAGAGAAAATATGATTCACATTCAATACGACAACATCCTCTGGATACTTTTTACCCTGAAGTATTGGTTGTAATTGATGCTTCAATGTATAAGTAAGTGAGCTAACATGAATCATAATACCGTTTTCGTGAATAAATAAGTAAAAATAAAAATTTTTAATGGGATGAAAATCATATTTCATAGGCATTTTGGCAAAAAACCCCATTTCGCTCTGAATTATTTAGTACCATTTTGGAATGCTGTGGATTTACGGTACAAACTTTTAAATTCACCTGAAGTCAAATTAAATATAGCTGGAGTTATTTTGTCACAGGTAACAAAATTGACGCTAACATTCGAATTGAATACACTTATTATATAACTTCTAATTTCATATCAGGATGAAAAGGCATTAGCTTTTTTACACTCAAATATGGATGAAAACGGGCGAATACATGCTAAAAAAGCTTTATTGGACGCAGGACAGTTTTATTATTCAGATACTTCCCTTGTTTCAAGAGATGTAGTAGTTATTATGACCAAGTAATTAAATGCACATATAATGATACAGTTCAATGTAGTCTTTTTTAAGATGAACTAGAAATGAAAAATCTGATAATTGTTTTCTGATACTTTTGCTTCGTATAGGGAGCTGTAATATTTTGCGAATAACGAAGCAAATTCGTTCCCGAAACTGTCAAGCAAAATATTTAATTGAAATTTCAGAAAAAAATTTTTGCTAATTTTCATTTTTTGGCCGTGTTAATTATCTTTAGATATAATTTATGATATATATTTTTTTATTAACAGGCACGATATTTGTAGTGTAAAGTATGCTAATTATTGCAAGTCATCGGCTATAGGTAAACAATTCTTTTATGCTTTAATATTTAGTACAAATAGACAACTAAATTTGAATAGTCAATACATAACATAAATTTGCGTTATATATAACACACTATATACATTATATATTTTAGGCAAAGCCTTTACCGGTAAAGCATGCTCAAAAAAGAAGAATACAGCTATTCTTGAGGATAATGGTGGATACGGTGGGATTATAACTGCCACTCATGAGATAGGACACTTGTAAGCTTACATCACATCTAACATATTTGAATATTTATTGCAATTATCTAATACATAAGGTTAAAATATTTAAAGATTGGGGTTACCGCATGATGGAGAAGATGAAGCTGCTGAATGTTCTATCCAAGATGGGTATATCATGGCGAGTGCAAAATATCGTTCAGTCAATAGTTTATGTTGGTCGTCGTGCAGTAAAAAAATTTTGGAACGATTTTCTAGGTAACTTTGACATTATGAGAAACAATATAAATTACTCAATTAATATTTTTAGTTTAACAGCTTCAAATTGCTTAGAAAATAAACCAAAGAATTTAGGTGATTCTATTAAGCAAACTTTGCCAGGAAGAGTACTTACGCTCGAAGAACAATGTTTGGCTAGAGGCGGAAAACCTTGTGTCGTGAGTTGAGAGAAGTTATTTATTACATCGAAAGTGATCGAACTATTATTTTTATCGATTTTTTAATTATTATCAGTTTAATGCAACGGTTTGTTGGAAATTATATTGTACTAAGTCAATGTTAAATAAAAAATGTATTGGAAAAGCTCCGGCTGCTGAAGGAACAACGTGTGGAGATGGTTTGGTAAATATCTCTCAATAATGTTATCTAAGATAATACACATTAAAATAATTATAATTAATTGCAACTGTAATCAATAATCGATATTTTGATTAGTATTGTCGAAATGGAGATTGTATTGCTGACGCCTAAATGACATTCAACACAACCCTCTTTTGGAAGACACTTGCAAGAATGAACGAGACAAGTTTTATTTTCATACTTTTTTTGGTGATTATTTAAATTGAAGTTTCAATTTATGTATAACTTATGAAACCAGAAATATATAACAACTTTATATACTGCAGCATAATTTTGATTCAAAAAAATGTTTGATTTATTAATAACTTTGTGTAATCTGAACCACATTATGGACCTTCAAAATTTTTTTTAATATCAGTGTAATGGTTCATAACATTTTTACTCTTTCTAATTAATGAAGCAAGCTACAATTGTACCTATTGTAGAAAATTAAAAATCTACTCTATCGACGATTTTAGTAACCCACTCTATTTCAGTTCGTCGAAAAAAGTATAGATGTCGTTGATAACTCTACGTAAGTAAATGTGTGTTCATAGCTATGTAAATTTTTAAATACCAGTATAAACCTTATATTATACTACTACTATTACTACTACTACTTCTAAAATATTATTTTTTTTCTATTCATTCGATTTCCAAAAATTTGATATTTCATAGATTTTATAGGAAGACCGAAAATAAAGTCTACGAAATTTATTATTTTATGACTTTAAGAATAACTACGTGTTCAGTATTATCGATATAAAAAACTATTTGAAATTTTTAAAGGGGATCCTACATTGCTTTCACCATTCATTACCGATAAAGAAAAGTTACATTATCTTTTATTCAACGATCGATTGTCTCATGGGTCATTGTTTACTATTACTGTTTTTGTTTTGAAAAACGAATAAAATTTTTGAAAACAGATCTTTTCAGCATATATTTGTTAGAAATAGTTTGCCAGGATAATTAGACTTATCAAGATGTTAACTATATTACTAACATGTCGTTTAAATTGTCCAAAACACTTTTGACAAGCGTCCAAAAAATATATGGGATTTTTCCAGCCTTCCCCAATGTTTGGCATTATTTCATAAATTTTTTTTTGGTTGGTGAAAAAATTGTGATAAGCAGTTAATTGTCATGTAAACCCAAAACTTTGAAGGGATGCTGAACAGAGTCATTTTAATTTTTCCGAATAAATTTCCATGTTAAAATGTATTACAAATTTTCGATCGTATTTTTATGAAAAAATGAATGAAACGAATGCTTTTTTTATTAGATGTAAAGAAATTTATGCACAAAAAAGGTTTTGTGTGCGTAGAATAAGAATCAGTTATTCTAATCAGTTTTGATTAGTTGGAAAAATGAAATTTTAATATAATCGGATCCACATCAATTGTGTCTTATTCTAAACTTAATAATGGACTTCTTTAGAATCTGATGTTTTGGCCCATTTATTGGCGAAACTGTGTATTTTTTAATGAAAAAATGTTTTAAAGGTCTTGCGACTATATACAAATCTGTTAGTTCAGAAATTTTATGATAGTATTTTTAATGTTAATAGCAATCAAAAAATGTAGGATGAGAAAAATCTCTTTTTTTTTCGATTCGTTACTTGTTAATATCAATTGGCATGTATGAATAAACAATATCATAATTTATGTAGCTACAGAAAGTACTTACGAAGATCGTTCGAAATTTTTCTCTTTTTAATCCTGATCAGAGTATTATTAACTGAACTATGTAACTTTCAAGTTTAGTCGTTTTTTTCACAGACATGACAAAAATTATTGCAGGAGAGTGTAGGTATTCAAATTTTCAAGAAGTATTTAATAATTTTATATTTCCACTGTTTTAGTATACAAATTACAGCGATAGAGCAAAGTTAAGAAAACATATAAAAATCACGAAGTTATACCCACTCGTGCCGGCATGGCCGGCACTCGTGTCCTTTTCCGCACACTGTGCGCAAAAAGCTAGGCATATGATGCATACAAAATTTTTTGTGCTACCCCAACCTAAAGTAACATTTTACTCCCGCTGAGCAAAACTAAAATGTTACTTTGGGCTGGGGTAGCACAAAAAATTGTATTTGCACCTATGTAGCGAAAAATGAAAGTCTCAGAGTACGTGATTATCAACCTCGGCTTCGCCTCAGATGATAGATTACACGTGCTCTGAGACTTTCCAGTTTTTCACTCCCGAGGTGCAAAATATACTATTATGCAATAGTAAGCGATAAATACTTTCATCTTAAACGAGGCATTTTACCGCACACCAGTGCCCTCGTTTAAAAATGAAAATGCCTCGTTTAAAATGAAAGTATTTCTCGCTTCCTATTGTATAAAATTTTGTATGCAGCACGTGCCCAGCTTTTTACGCACAGTGTGCGGAAAAATACCCACTCGTGCCCTAAAACGCCTTTTGGGTACTTGTTGCATAAATAACTATTTCATACGCAAAAATATAATTTAGTTTTTTAAATAAACCAATCTACAATTTAATATTTTCAACTTTAATCAGTAATATTAAGAAGATACTGAAACTATCGATTGACGATGTTCAAATTTTAAAATTTTTTTTTTGTGAAAACAATGAAGGTATAGGTTGTTATGTTGTTGCGGAGGAATCGTAATTCCGCTTCAGAAAAAAGTACAATGAATAAATAAATAAATGCAATGGAACTCGGCCATAACGAATTCGTCCATATACATTATCATATGTGTTATCATAAACAGTAATTTCAGAGTTTCTACCTAAGAAAACTATGATTGCTAATTTATGTTCATTGGAAAAAAGATGATTTGATATTACTGCCAACGAAAACCAGGAATCATAATTTAATGTATTTATACTTATATTCATATATTTATGTATTTTTACATTACGTAGCCAATTCAGCAGAGTAACAGTTTTCGAAGTCAAAAATGAAGAGCTCTAATCTTGCCCGTATTTTCAAACGTCAATTTTTTCGCGAAAAATTGTTGAGTATTTGTCTGATGTTAAACATATAGATTATAATTTGGTAACAGCGATATTTTCGATGAAAATTTGATCGAAAACTCAATTAATGCGTACAAATTTGACGTCAAAACAGAAGATAACATACTTATGTCAATAAATACGTTCAATAAACAATTAGTCTCAACTTTACGCTTTTACCGTTTACTTGTATGCAATGTCTGAATCTAGAAAATAGAAGAGATTGGCAATTTACAAATGGGCTATTCCACGTCGAGTGTGATAAGCCCACAAAATGATATTCAGTCTGAGTGTGTGCTCCTAAAGAGTATATTGAAAAATGAAACTCCTAAAAAACTCAGCTCTTTTGGTCCATTCCTAATGGATCTAATAATGGGGCACAAAGTTGAATTTTCATTTTTCGATATTATTCTGCTTATAATTCTGCTTTTCTGGGGTGAATATTAAAAATTTTTACATACCAGCGGCCCGAAAGTAGCACTTCCCGGCCGCCGCGCTAAACGGGATATTGCTATTTTCGGGCCCGGGGTATGTAAAATCGTATACTGGCCTATACCGGGAAAAAAAGAAAGCCTCAGTGCACGTTCTAATCGACTTCGGCTTCGCCTCGGTCGCTTATTTCACGTGCCCTGGGACTTTTCTATTTTTCCCGGCCTAGGACAGTAATATACTATTAAATCATTTTTTTATGTAAAATTTGATGTAGATTTATAAATTGTACTAAAAATCATGTTTTTAACCTCAACATCAAATACAACTTTTTACCAAGTGGTATAATGGCGAAGTCAAGAGGCACAATTTGACAGCATACGAAGGACAAAATAACATCGTTTTTCATGAATTTTCCTTGTTTTTTTGAGATACCGAATGCAATTTACCAATGTGTTGTCAAGTTGCCGATTCTAGCCGAAGAAGCCGACTACTAAAATATATTGTCCCCAAACTTGAGCCCCAAAATTGTTGTTATACATGGTGTTCCAGAGATTGGGAATAAGTATGGATCCTAGGGTCCGTCTGCCTTGATTTCACGGGTCTCTGCATCATCATCCGTTATCCATTTCAACATTTTGCTAGTGAAGTAGATATTAATGACCTGGATCGGGTATACTGGAACCCCCGCCTTATCCAAGGTATTGAAGATGTGGTTCCATCATAGAAAATAAAATGTGTTCTTTACGTACTCTTGCGGTATTTAGTACTCTTTGGTGCCGTAGTACCATCTCTTGCCACTATCGACTCTTTCTGCAGTGCTTAATACTTTCTGGATGGCGTCGTCTGTTGACCGACCTCCTCGGAATTTAAAATGCAAGTCCACCAGTCCTGCCGGAACCTCAGTGTAGGCTCTCAAGCCGTCTGCAATTTCCTATCCGAAATCTTGCATGCGGTGTCCAGTACGTACAGCGATGAAAGCTTTGAGATAGGCTTGCCTTGCTTGATTTAACATCATGAAACCTTTGTCATTTCCATCACGCTAGAAAGCATCCTTCGACTCTAAGGCACGCCTTGTAAACATCGCAGGAATTATCTAAACACGTATCCACGATCCTTTCTCCTCCAAGTTTTGACACTTATTCAGACGCAAACTCCTCGAAAACGCTGACCGAAATTAAAACATTTTGTCATGTAAAAGTAAAATAAGACTTATTAAAAAAAATACAGTGTGTACAATGCCGACCATTATCTTGAAAAAAGAGCGTTAAGGTGGCTCCAGCACATTACTATAAGTAGATATGCTTAAACTTAGAGAATATCTTAATATTGAATTAACAATATAAGGTTGGTACTCGATTATTTAGTTACTTTTCACTGAAGCCTTAAAAAACGTATGTTTTCACTGAAATATGTACGATTGTTTATTAAAACAAGTTAAAATATACTCTGCAACAAGCATTATCGCAACAAAAGTTTTTATTGAAGTTTCGTAAATTTTCAAATACTTTTATCTCTATCAATTTTGAGCACATCAAAACGATTTTTTAAAGTAAATTTCGAGTTATCAGTTTTACTTAAGGCTGCTATATGCCTATTACTTTTATGCTAGAATTAGCTTTTAAATAACATTATTTATTGATAATATACTTTGGAAAAAATGAGAAAAAGTATTGTTTATACTAAATACTAAATCATTTACAACAACATAGCAGTTTTTGAAAATTGTACTAAAATTTTCTATTACTTCTTCAATTTTCATTCGA